CCCACTGTCTCCATCTCCATGCAGCAGTGACATCCAGCAGCATTTGTGCTGTAGGGGAAGACAGCTGCCTTCTTTTGGATAATGCTGAGCACAAAAGGATTAACATGTGCAACTGTGGCAGGCTTTAGAGCCCCAGGTTGGGCACATCTGAACATCCTCTGCACTGCAGTAGCTGCAGTTTACCACAGGTTTATAACAGCTCACCCTTGTTTGTACACACCCTGGGTGAGCGAACAGGCTCGGGCTGCCACAGCTACAGCAGGTGACACCGCACCTGCCAGGTGAGACAGAAACTCACTTTCTAAAAACTGCTTTCCCAAGGTGTTTTCACATGCCTTTGCTGTTGGCTAGAGGAGCAGGGCCCAGTCAAGTGACAGGGAAACCAGCCTAGTTCAGATCACCTCATTCTGTCACCGCCTCCCATCTCACCAGGGCCTCTCTGGCTCTGGTCACTTCTTTCTAGGATCGCCTGACTGTTATATCAAGTATTTGTGCTGATCTCCTCCAAAATGGCAGTGGAACCACAGCCTGGACTTTTTAAAACGTGCCATGTCACTGTGGAAGAAGAACACTGGGACCTCTCACTTAAATCTGTCAAACCAAGAATGCCATTTGAATGCTAATCTGGATAAGCAGCACATGAAATTGATCTGGATTAATATGCATATCAATATAAACAGAGGTATGTGAGTTCGGCATGTGGGAATATAACCTTTGTGCAAGGTGTTTTTTCATTTCCATCCCCTTTTGCTGAAGAGCATGTGTATGGAAACGCTTCCTCGGCGCTCCCTGTGCGTTACCCGTGCGAGCAGCTCCCATACAGCGATGTATGTATGTGTAAATTGTGTGAATGTAAATATAGATAGGCCATATGTCCCCAAAGTCCCAAAAGAGCATCTGATGTTGATATGTAGACAGTGTGTTAAGGACCTTCCTAATTAATAAGCCAGATTAAAAACCTCTTGGCAATCAATTAAGATTAATGACAGAAGTCATTCTGCCTCCCCCTCCACCCGCGTCTTGGGCTGTGAAAACCCTGGGTCGGGAAACTTTAATCCTGTTATCTGCTGCCTCCTTCATCTGCAAAGCCTGGAGATTAGCTCAGCGGCCGTTCCCTGTTCCCGAATCCCGGCCAGCCACTCGGACAGCTGCCCTGCACCGCCAGCTCACAGGGGAGGAATAATCTGGGCAGGGGAACAGGCCTGGTGCATCACTCTACTGCAGCTCACTCCATGAGGAAGGTGTCATGAGGATGAGGGAAAAAAAATGTGTTTGTTGCTTGGGAATCCTGGGCAGTGATCACCAGCCCCTGCCCTGCCCAGGGAAAGGTTTTCTTTGGCTTGGCTCAGGAGGCTGCACTGCTCATGTGCTGGCAGGGGAGCTGTGGGACAGCTCTGGCACATCCCTGCTGCCCCCAGCGCTGGCGTTCCTTTCTCCACAGCCATCGTCCCCGTGCCGTGTGGCCTTGGAACTGACAGGCAGGCTGGTTTCTTCCTGCTCTCTCATTCCTACCAATGCTCACAGAGGGATGAGTCCCGAAGGCTCGTTTAAGAGAGCAGCAGACTCATCTGCACCAAGGGAGGCTGTGCCAAGAATGGCTGCCTACATAGCTGGGAAAATGTCCCTGTTTCTCCTGTCACCAGCACAACATCCTCTCTTCAGCAAGATGATCCCTCCTGCTTCCACTGAGTGACAGCAAATCCAGCTGCCAGGGGAGCCACTCTAGTCAGGATGGGCACCTGCCAGGCAGCCAGCCAGACCCTCCTGAAAGCAGCTCAGGTTACAGGGCAAGGCTGTGACTCCGGTCACCAGGAGTTTCCTTTCGGAGGGAGCGCTGCTATCCACATCTTGCATGTGCATGTATTGTTTTTGTATTATGCAGAGATGCTCAAAAGTAACAGTTTAAATAGATGTTTGTGTTTACTCTGCAGCCAATATTAAAAAAGACCTTTTTTTAAAAGTAGGTAAATGCTAACAGGCTTAAAATCAACAGCAAGTACAAGTGTCTTCCTTTTTAAAAGGCTGGTTTGTACACGTAAGTACAAGCTGGAAGCATTCTATAGTTTTCCTCCCTTCTGATTCTTCTAGAATGAAGTACAGTCTTTCTTTTCTTTGATCACTGACACCTATTTCCATCCTGACAGAGCAAAATCTTCACTACAAGGGCCGTGGGCTATTAGTGGACCTAAAGATGTTTGTGTGCATAAATGCACATGGGATCAGAGTTCTCAGCCACCATCACATTGCAGCAAGCTCAGGTAAAGAATCTAAACCACTGATGATCACCTCTTGGTGCTAAACTATGATTTGAAAAACAAACACAAGGATTTTGAGGAAACAGACAGGTCCCCTGTGGCTGGCGCTGTGCCCCTGTGCCAGGCTGTGTGCCTGGCTGTGTTTCCCCTGGGAAAGAAGTTCAGCGCAGACCCTCGGACACTGAACTGGTTCATCAGAATAGCCCAGACTGCTGTGGCTCAGTCTTATTTGCCCCTTTAATAAAAAAAAAGGAAGGAAGTCTAGCTAGGAGCACAGACACAGGGTAATGCATCATTTATAAATTACCTTGTTAGCGCAGAAAACACCACATGGCTCTGCAGCCGAAATCTCCTGCTGCGGACTTGCTCTGTTTGATGGGAGCCCTTCAAAAGCGCTCATGGCTTAATGGAGGCTGTTTGTGGGGCCCTCGATCCATACCTGCTGTCCTCGTCCCTCACTGGGAGCCCGGCGCAGCTGCCGCGGCGCGCAGCTGTCTCTGAAGTGGCTGCGTGTCCTCGGCCCCCAGCACAGCCAGCCCGCGTTGGATCTCTGGATTTGTGCCTGAGGCGAGCCGGGGAGCAGCTGTGTCCAAGCCGTGCTACCTTTAGTGTGCAGCCCCCGGGCCCCACGCGCCCCGGCCTGCCCCGCGCTCCCGCCGCACAGCTGTGCCCGCAGCCCGCTCCGTGTGCCCACACCTGGGCGCTGCCCCCCTCCAGCACCGCAGCTCCCGGGGCCGGAGCCGCCCCGGCGGCCTCGCGTTTCGGCTCTCGTGCCACGCGGCACGGCCAGCACCGCACAGGGATGCACCAACGGCTCGCTCTGCTGTGCTACTCGTGCCTACATTTCAACTGCCTGATGGAGGACTCAAATTCAGTGGTGAATTCTTCTATGCATGGAACTGACAAGTTTTTAAACAGGAAAATGATGAAATAGAACAACTCCACAGCTCTGTGTGTGTGTGTATCTCCCCGTGCACACACCACACACGTGCGCTGACACACACCAGGGGCCCACCATGGGATCTCCACCCAGTGTGGTAGACCAAGGAAAAAGACACCAAGACAGCAAACGCTGCACAGACAGAAATGGCGCTCTGCAGTGACACAGGTCACACCTGACCCACTGCTCCTTTCAGCACAAACATCACTCCTTTTCCCTAGAGCCACTGCTCTGTCTCTCACAAGCCGAGGCGCTGGCCAGTGTGGCTCCTGTCAGAGAAGTGCTGCCTCCAGAGAAGGCAGGTATCTGCACAGTGGCTCAGCAAAGCCTGCCCTGAGGGCAGTCCTTACTCCTGCCTTTGGGGGCAGAAATAACCAAAACAGGGCCTGACTGACGCTTTTTTAGCCTTTTAAGGCACCACTTCTATGTTCCTGTTTACATTGAATTTACCTGTTAGACTGTATTTTGCCATGTATTTGGTGTATAGATTTGCTGTTGTTATTGCTGCTCCATGTCACATGCATCATTAATGCAAACGGCGAGTAACCTGCCAAGGTAACAATGCTAACAGCTGTATCCAGCTGTGCTCTCCACTTGCAGCACAGCACTTGGCCATTCTGCTGCTTCCAACACTTGTCTTACCTTAGTCTGACCTCTTCATCCTGTTGAACAGCACCAAACTACATCCCAGGGAAATAATCAAAATTCCCACTACCTCCCACTACACCACATGTAACTCCCTCCCCTTCAGCTCTCTCATCCTTTCATGTGGCCTTCATGTTGTATGGTGCAGAGGCAGTGTTCTGCACAGCAGCGCTCTGTAGTACGTGAGACTGTGACCTGCTGCCATCCTGTTCAAGGGAAGCTCCCGTGGCTCTTCCCAAGTGCCACACACAGGAAGCTGAGTGGGCCTAGGAGGTAAATCCTGACATTCAAAGTGTTCCTTTCCTGAGGAGCAGCAATCAAAAGTACTTGATCTGGTTTTACCACCTTTACAGAGGTGCAAACAGCAGCTCTGTGACCTCATCAGAGCAGCGTTTGGGGCAGAGGCCCCTTTTTCAGGGGCCGCAGATGTTCCAGGATTGTCTGAGAAACACATTTCCTCATCTTTTTCTTCTGTGACAGGTGCCGTTGGTGTGGAAGTGCAAAGCTCCAGGAAGCAACTTGCACAGATGTGATTGTCAGCCTCTGCTCTTACAAGCACCTGGGTCTGAGGGCTATTTGTGTGCCTGTGACAGAGTTCACTCTGCACGAGGCTACGTTCCTGTTCTCCACCTGAGCACACACCACATCCAGCGCCCCTCCTCTGCCTCCAGGAGCCCCGTGTTGGCACCGCGTCTCTAGGCCGGCACCACGCGCGTTTCGCTCTCGGATTGCCCGGTGTGCCACCCTTCCCGCCGTGTCTCTGCCCCCCGTGCGCCGCACACCCACCTGGTCTCCTTGCTGAGGCCGCATCAGCGAGACTCTGTCGTACTGGCGCCGCAGCAGCGCCCACAGCGCATCCAGCCGGCCCTGTGGGAACACAGTGGGCCCGGTCAGGGGCAGCAGCACACCCCACCCGCACGGGGGCTGCCCGGGGCGTCCTGGGACCTGCAGTATCACAATGGAGCACCGCTTCCCTGGAGCCAGGCAAGCAGAGCTAAGCCTGCCCTGCATCCCCTGTGACCGCTGTGCTGCTGCTCCTGCCCACCTGGAGTGCCAGGGAAGGCACTCACCTGGAGCTGGTGAGGAGCATCCTGCTCTGCACAGATGGTCCCACACCTTGCCTGCGTGTCTGGACATCACGGCCTCAGGGCTTTCTGGGGGTCAGAAAGGACTCGCTGGCACTTGGGAAGAGAGAAGTATCCAGAGTCCCAGCTACACCTGTGTGTTTTCTGCTCTAACACCTAAAGGTAAGGTATTTACAGACCTATCCTCCACTTATAAGCAGTGCTTGTGCCCTGTTGGCAGGTCACTCAGAGCACCATTCTTACGAGCCAGATAGAACAATTTGCTTTTTGTTAGACCTTTTGCATTTCATTGTTTTATATAATTTTTTTGCTTTTCTTGGCTTGTCATGACAATGTGTGTTTAAAACTTAGCGTAGCAGCTACAAACTGTGCAGTTTTGGGTTTAATTAGCTCTTCTAAGCCAACAAAGCCCCCATAGATTTTAATGCTCTCAGTGTACAATATGTCCCTTTTTAAGGGGAGGCAAACAGAACGTGGCAGTAATGATCAAGTATTGCATTTAGGGCTACAAACTGCTCCTGCCATTCCTGCTGAGTAGGTGTTCCCTTCGAGAATAGCACATTACACTTGAATGGGAACACTTGGAAAGTAACGCACAGCACAGCCTGCATAAGGCACAAAGAATCCAGCCCTCAGTAACAAATCATACCAAAGAGTGAACAGATACCTTGATGGGTGTGTACCACTTCTGCTGCATGGCTGGTGAGGTAGGCTTTCGTTTGGATGGTTTAGGGTGAAAAGGTTCTTCTGGTTCTTCTGGGAGTTTCACCACAGCATTCTTTGCTTTTTCCAACCGGGCCCCTTCTTCTGTGGAGCCTTTGTCGCCCCAGCGCACCTGAGGAAAGGCAGAGTTCAGGTGTGAGTGCACCTCGGGGCAGGGAAACTGCTGCAAATAACAGAGGGTAAATCTGGAAGAGGTGCTGGATAAAAAAAAGAGGAGGTACTGAGGAGAACACTGCCTCTTTATTATAATAACAGCAGTCTCAGGTAGGTGTCTGTAACTAAGTCTCTGTAGTGAAAGATAATCCTATCTTGCTTCACATGGGCTGTACAGGAAACAGGGAATCTGTGAAATCTTTTCTAAGTAGCAATATAAAAATATAATTTCTACTTCCTATTTACCCTAAAATACCAGACCCTTATCTGCCACTCATGAAAGTCACGATTTCTGAACCCAGGTCTTCTAGCCCAGAGAGTTTTTAATAACCCCAGTGTAAGAGCAGTGTGCTCTTCTGAGCCAGGGAGAGCTGTGAGTTCTGCTCTCCCAACAGCCTGAGCTCATCTTCCTAACTCCAGTCCCAGACAGGGCAGGGCAGAAGTGAGGCTCCCCGGTCAAACCTGGAAGCACTGACCATCGGTGCCCAGCCAGGCCTGTCGCTGCTCTGGGGTGCCAGGGACAGACAGAGCCACAGCCCCACAGAGGAGGGGCTTTTTTCAAGGGCCCATGATTATGCTGGCAGGAATTACAGTTGGTTCACATCTTTAACCCTTAGTCCTGCCAAAATTGCTACCACAGATGAAAAGGTTTTCTAACCCAATCATCAGTTTCTACCCTCGTTTGCATTTTTGCCATGGGCTGAACATGTCTTTCTCTGTGGTCCTGATGTCACTTGTCTTCATGAGGTTTCTGCTCCATTGTGCAGGATCCTATATGGGAGCCCCTCCTGGAGGCAGTCACAGTTTCCCTCAAATCCAGGCTTGTAATTCTTGATGTTGGAAAGCATTTCCTAGTCTGCCTCTGAAACACACTGCACAAAATGTTTGCTTTTTATGAAATCTCTAGCTCTTCTAAATTAGCAATTCTGAACTGCTGAAGAAAATGGATATAAGCCACACAGCTTCAAACCTGCATGCTCTGCTGCTGCATTTAAAAAGAACTCAAGCAAAGCTGATTAGGCCAATACCTTTAAAGTTTCATCAAGACACCTCAGTATGGCCTGGGTGGGTGTTTCAGACAGAGACAGCTTCCTGGACTGCAGTTAGGAACTGCTTTGCACATTCTATATAGGCTGACTTAACTACAAAACCTGCCATAAGGATGTGCCCATAAGGATGCACATTCTTCATTCTGTTTTAATTAACATGATGCTATCATGTCTCTTCAAAGACAGGCTCTGTTGTCGCTGCGAGTCCCTCTGGGATCAAGCCTCTCCTCAGCGTCACCATTGTCAGCGCATTTGGCTGGCCCACACTTGGGGGACTTATGTTTCACTGTAATTCCTTCCAAAACACGCAGAAAAGGCTCTCACTCTCTCTTTCTCATTAGCTTGATGGAAAGAGCATGTCTTGAGGCAGCTATTTAAAGTCCCAGTCAAATGGAACTACTGAAAGCTGTTCTTTCAGAGGCAAGGTCAGAATTGTTCGATATGGTAACGAATTTTCCAAGGCTTATGCCAGTGGGAAGACAAGTACACATTATGGCCTTGTATTTTCAGTGCACTTTCAAGTCTTTCTTTCCACACTTAGAGCCTCAGAGAGCTTGTGCTTGAGGGAACTGCCATCTCCAAATCCTACCAACCTCCATCCTCTTAATTCCCCCAACTCCTCGTCCACCGTAGTAGGAAGCATCCACCGTGGGCCACTTCTTGGAAGGCAAGGGCTCCTGTTCTTCTTCCTGTAAGTACATTCAAATGATATTTACTTTAAAGAGATACTTCTACATACACACTGAATGTCTTTTCCATGTATTTCACGGGGGTTGCAGAGCATACGCAGTTGGTTGTGAATGGGGTGCAAACACTGAGGACAGCACAGCCTCCAGTGCCTTACTGCCCATAAGAGGGAAAGAATTCCCTTGTAAGGGGAATTCCTCAGTGTCTGGAATGACAAAGCTGGGAGAAAAAGCTGCCTAAGTCCTCCATGACTCTTTGGATGTAGGACAAGGGCTATTGAAGCTTTCTGCCTTCAGTGCAGAATGTGAAAAACAAAGCTATCTTGGAATAAAGGCCCTAAGTATTTCTGTGGATCTGGACTTAGTTCAGGCCACACTGAGCTGAGACAGAGCAGAGATCTGGCCTTTGGCAACCCTGTTCTCCACTGAGGGCTCCCCACAGGGCAGTCCTTTCTCCGGCAGCGCCTGGACAAGGGGCTGGGCACGCAGTGCACAGGGAAGCACGGGAGTGGTTCCATGTGAGCAGTGTGTTAACACTAGCACCATCAGACCGTACCTCTTTTGGGGCTGGTGGAGGCGGAGGGGGATCCTTGATGACCTGAAAGAGCCAAACATAGGAAAGAATAAGGTGCTGCAGTGGCAGCAGCCAAAGGCAACAGACCATAGTAAGTGACCTGTTTCCACCCGAGCCCCCACGACCGCCAGCGCGCTGGCAGCCTCTGCTGCCCGCTCCCCTGAGCACCCATCTGCGAGGCCTTCTGGAAATTCCCACCATCCGTCTGCCAGAAGCTGCCGTCCCTGGCCTGCAGACACCCTGGGCAGACGTGTCTGCCACCGCGCTTCCTGGCCGGATGAGCCTCAGCCGCTGTGAGGAGCAGCCAGTGCCGAGGCCTGCGTGAGGTCGTGCGCAGCCGTGGGCCGAGCTGCCGCTGCTGCTGGGGCCTCTGGCCCGGTGACAAGTGTGAAATGCCTTCTGGCAGCTCAGGCTTCACCTCTGGATGTCCCGCGTGCTTCCGCAGCCCTCACACTTGCCACCTCTGAGCTCCATGACTGTGCAGTGCCTGCACTGCAGTCACACTCCCACGCTTCTGACTCTGCTCTGGGTGAGGCCCACTCCTGGAAGCATTTCTTACACCTCTATTTAAATCTCTCCCTGCAGTCTCTTCCCATTCTCTTTGTCACATCCACGCTGTAAAGCTCAGAGAATGCCCAGCGCTGACAGTCCCAGCAGGGGAGAGGCAGGCAAGGAACCCTCTTCAGTGATTCAGCTGAAAACTGAATGCACAGCCATTCCTCCACGAGAAAAGCAGGTTTGCAAGCTAGCAGTAAGTTCTTCTGGGCCATGTTTTGGGTTTGGGTATTGCCGGGAAATGACTAAAAAATACACCATGAGTATCAAGGAGTCTGTTCTTGCTATGCCTTGATATTACACAAACATATACAGAACTGTCCATGCTGACAAACACCTCAATCTAATACAGATTTCAATTAACTTAATTGAAATATGCCTTATTCTACTCACTCTGTGCTATTTAATTGTAGTACAATATCACTGCAGAAACAGTCAGCATAATACATGAAAGAAACATATTTGTCTTGATCGGTAGAGTTTTCCATCTTGATTTACATTTCAGTTCTCGGTGCCACCCAGACAGTTACTGCTGAGTGCCTAAGCAGGCTGTGGGCTCTCAGCAGTGCATAAAGGAATTCTGCCCAATAAGAGAAATAACTTACGGCACCCCTGGTACCAGTTTTCCACAGCCCTTCAGGTTTCAGTTGTGGAATGGTACATTTGTCAGGCTCAGAGTGCTTTGAGTGGATTGGAAAGTGACCTGTGGATTTCAAGTAGACATCCCTTTGCTGTTGGGATGTTTCAAAACCATGCCAGGCGTTACTTTTCTTTAAATAGTTCAGGGCGCTTTTTCTTCCCAGCCATCAGGAGTTTCCAGCATACTTAACAGAAAGTAATTATTTAATTAGCGAATCATTCCTGAGAGCCACCTTGGAATTATTACCCTAATTTTATACAAAACAGCAACACATTATGGGATTATTGGACAAATCCTGAGAGATACTTGGATGCTGAGTAGGATTTGCCAAAGCCTGGACATACTTTGTTCTAGCTGAAAGGAATTAGGAGACTGGAGACAGTAAAGCAGCACTTTCACTCAATGAAGGGCAACCTGACTTAATTTCTGTCCTTCTTTCCATTTCACCTGTCCCTCACCATCATCCCAAAACAGTCTGTTTCTCTGTCAGGCCTGCAAACTGCACAGGAGAAGGTCCTTCTAGGTAGATTTGTATGTACCCATACAAAATGGCACTGCCCTTTGCCTTCTGTAGCTGTGCCACTCTGAAACCTCACATCGGTCTGAGCACAAACAGCTTTGCCCAGCAAACTTCTCCGTGCTGAGGGATGGAATTCCTGTGGGCCCTGTGCCCATGGGGGATGAGTGAATCACAATTCCCACCCTGGACAATCAAGGGAAGTCTGACTTGTTTGAGCTAACTGTGGCTTCCTAAGGCAATAGTCAATGGCAGCTTTTGCTCATCTCCTCAAATGGAGGATCTCATCCTGTGCCAGCTCCTCAACTCCCTAAAGTTTGAGGGGAAATTCACTTTAAAGCCAAGTAATCCATTAATTAGCTGTTATTTCTAATGGCTTCAGAAAATGAAACTTGTTTTAAAAGTGACAGTGGTGTGAGAAAATAATCTGCTTTGAGTAGCAGCTCCTCACCCTGCTGACAGCACTGGAATGTCAATGCCTGCATCCTTATGCTTCCACAGGCTCTCACACTCACACACTCGGATCACACGTGCACACACAAGGATTCTTTTCAATTGTGTGATATTCCAAGTGAAATCAGTAGAAAGCTGTTTATGAAAAAAAGAAATCCAAGGCACACGTGCAGCTCTGCATGGAGCTGCACACAGAACTACACAGAGGAAGACCAGAGTATTGTAAATTAACTTTTCCTGAGCTGGATTCAGATTGTTTCACTGACGAAGCCTCTGAATAATGCTGCTCTCTTACCGTCCTTGTGGAGAGATGGGCTGCTTCATCGGTTTGTTTGGTTTTATCATCAGCCTCTCTGGGCAAAGCTCCATCTCATTTTGTGAGTTGCAAAGAATGAAGGTCTGAGGAAGAGCTGATCTCTTTACAAATACCATTAAAAAGAAGAAGTCGGTGCTCGAGGCAGCAGTGCCTCTGATCCACTCATTAACACTTCTCTGCCGCTCCATGATGTGGGCATTAGGAGATGTCAGCACAGAGCCTACAGCCAGCTTGCTGTAATCATATGTTCCACAGCGAGGGACAAGTGACAGAACTGTCACAGTGAAACCCTTGAAAGCGGGGGCAAGGAAGGAAAAGGAAGAGGAGTCCCCCTGCCCCACCCTCTGAGTGTCCATGGTACTCACACCATGGAACGCTGTTAGAACGAGCCCCAGCCAGGATGGGGCTGGACCCGTAGGCAGGGGGCAACACACCCACCTAGCTCCAGGGGCATGTTCTACCCACAACACCCTGTACCTCCCTTTTCCATTGGACTCTGACTCCTGGGCTCCTGCTCTTTGTTCCAGGAAACCAGGTGCTCTGCTCTGCCAGGGAAGCAGAGCCAGAGGAAGGGAAGAACAGGTACTGCTTGGCCCTAATGCTGCCTCTCTCCTCAGGGACGCTGCCCTGAAACCCAGGACTGCTAAGCCAAAAGTGGCCCTCCCAGGTGATGGATGTCCAAGCCTGATGTGCCAGCAAGAAGGGCAGAAACTGAGGCACAGCACGAGGAGCAGCTGGCAAAACCAGAGGGAAGGATCAATATTCCGCAGTAGGTTCAGTGCAACAGCGTGGGGGCTTGAAACTCAGCACTGTTGTAGCAAAGAGGCCTAAGATTACCTTTTCTTTTGAAGTAACAAATAGTATCCACAGGAGGTGGGAGGAAACACAGAGGGCACAAACTTTCGAAGAACTATGGTTTTATAAGGGAATTGATAATATAGAGCTATTCACTGGACTGCTTCATGTAGGAATTTTAATTTATGAAGCTGGTTTATGAATCAAGGTTAGGTTTTTTAAAATAAGCAAACCAGCAACTTGCTCCTTACTGATTTCCAATGTTCCTTTTCCACAAGGAGGCTCACCATATAAAATAAAGTGGAGGTAAGGAGATTAACAGGAAGCTCCCTGGATTTCTGTTGGGCCTGTGCTGTAGAGAATGAGAATAAGCAGGGCTTTTTGTTCTCATCTCAGGAATCCCAGAGGGTGAAGGTGCAGATGGAGGCTGAGATGTCCTGCCCTTGGACAGCCTGGGGCCTGATGGACTCCCCCAGGTCACATGGGCTGCCGCCAGAGAAGGCAGAGAAGCCAGGTGAGAAGGCCAGTTCCTCTCTTGCCCACATTCCACAAGCCATAGACAATCCAGGCCGGGGAAGCCATCTCCATTTCCCAAGTCCTCCATGCCGTCCTTGAGCTTGGATGAATAATAAACTTCCCCACTCCCCCAGAAAGGAATGACAGGAGTCAAGTGACCCACACTGTTGCTGCTGCTGGGGTGAGGATAGAGAGTGCACTCAGATAAAGAGATGGATGTGTGCAGGGATTATGAAAAAAAATAGGGATTTCCAACCTGAGAGCCCATAATGGACTACAAATACCAATTTTACTGAGAGCAGTTTTAAAGTGGTCCGTGATTTCAGGGTAGCATCTGCACACCATTAAGGCCACCCCATTCCCAGTAACAGCACCGTGCTGGTGTTGGTTCCTGTGTGTGCAGCTCAGACAGGCAGGGCTGTGTCCAGCGGAGCCCTGGTGCTGGAGCTGCACCCCCCAGCCCTTCCCTGCCTGTCACAAGCTCCCCCAGAGCTGCCTCCCCAGCACTTAACCATTTCCTGCAGGATGTGTGTCCCACCCGTGGCTCAGGGTGCAGCAGCTGTTCCCCAAGGTCTGTACTCACCACTTTGCAGCAGAGGGGCCAGAACCACCAGAGCAGGCCGAGAGCCACCAGCAGCAACAGCACGAGGACGGCAACGAGCACTGCCGCACCACTGGACTGCAGAGACAGCAGGGACAGCGTCAGTGCTGCTTCACCCGCCCGCCCCAAAAGCCAGCTTTGGTTCTGCTCAGGTATGGGGCTTCCTTCTGATGTAAAACTCATAAAACCGAGATCAGAACGAGGCCCAGCTTGAGAAAAAGAGAGGGGCCACTGCCTGCTACGGAATGAGCCATCAGACACAGACAGGGAAAGTCTCATCCTGAGGCTGTGGATAAGAGGTGCCCTTCTCCTCCACGAGGACACAGATCTCACACATGGACTGGGGTGCATGCAGGGAGGTTTTAAGGTGTCTCTACAAAGACTACACCTGTGAGGCTTTGATGCTGATGGCCCACATTCCTGCACAGACTGCGGCACCCTGACTCCCTGCAGCCGTGCTGTGCAAACCTGAAACTGAAGGAGAAAGTGTTCCTGCTTCCAGCAACACTTGTACTGCACAACTGAGCAGCCCACCTCCCACGCCTCTCAGACCTCCAACCCATTTCCTGGGCGTGTCTTTATTCTTACACTTTAGACTTTTAGACCAACACTGACAGAAACACAACAGCATCCCTAGGAAAACGAAAGTTACTCAGACTTGAGCTGGGAAAAAAGGAAAGGAGAGACCCAGGGAATCATTGAGACTGGAATACTGTGTCTGATCAGTCCTGACCCAGAGGTGCCTCACTGCACATGGGGCTGGAACAGAGCCATATCCCAGGTGCAGTGAGGCACACAGGTATGGTGGGTGCAGTGTATTTTTGTTTGTTTTCACTGCAGTGTGTTTGTTGGGAGGCTGTAACTTGTAACTCATCTCCCAGTCAGCCGTCAGCTGCTCAGCTCCCAGAATTAGTGAGCAGTTCTAGCAGTGACCCATTTCTTGAGTTGCCCATCTGCTACTATGGAAACAGCAGTTCTTGTGTGGAGCTGCCTTTGCTGCAGCACAGGCCAAAAGCAGAAACCAGAAAGAGACAAAAAAGGCTGCCGAGAAGCTCTTCCTGCTGCTGTGCACATCTGCACCTCTCTGCTTCCTGCCAGGGCAGGCTGTGAGCACAGAGCAGCAGAGCTGCTGTGCAGCACAGTGGGAAGGCCGTGCCCAGCACCTCACTCTGAGCTGCTTTGGATCAGGGCCTTTCTGTTCCCTCTCTGTGTACTGCTGGCAGCTCTTTCAGGAGCACCATGTGCTGCTGTCTCTGTAAGGGCTGAGGTACAGGCAGGCCGCAGCTGGGCTGCAGCAGCTCCTGTGCTGCCCAGCCCTCAGCCACCCTGCTTGGGTGTACGGCTGGCATGCTGCCAACTGACAGAGGCCCTGAAACAGAGAGCTGTCATTTGGGCTCTGTGTGTTCTTCCAGCTCCCAGCTCAGTCAGGCTTCCTCTCCTCAAACCTGCAGGGCTGCACTGGATCTCTGATTTCTACAGCTGCACGAATGATGAGGTTTTAAATGAATAGACTAAAAATGCCATTTCTTTTCTCTTTTTGGTTACTGATCTATGAGCAAAGAAATCCTGTTGGGAGCAATGCGTGGTGATGGGCAAAAGAGATTATCTCCATGCTCCACACCCAATGGAAAAGCTGCTCTCAAGTCACACTTGAGGTAAGACACATTTCAAGGCCCACGTGTACATCATGTGCTCAACACTGTGGGCTCGTGTCTCCCTCCGCAAATTCCAGCTGTCCTGTGTAATACAAAAGGAATTAAAGGACAGTAAAAATGCAAAAGTAGAAAATATATGCATTAAGTTATAACAGTCACTGGCTGCACAGGTGTGTAGTTTCTCCCAGAAGCAGTTTTTATCTCTTCTATAAACTGATCAGGCTTAGCAGGATGTTCACGCTGCCTCAGTCCCAGGTGTCAGTGGGATACTCTGGTCTCTCCTTGGACGGGCAGTCTCCACAGATGAACAAGAGCTAGGAGCCTACACTCCTCACTCAGGCCCCAGTCACAGAGTGTTAGTACCTCTGCAGGACTGTCACCTCTCCACACCCAGGCTCAAGGGCCAAGCTTGTGCCCATCTGCTCCGTCCAGTCTACTCAGGGGAGAGCCATGCAGGAATGGGACCCCAGGTGACGGTCACACCTGGCTCTCAGGACATGGCATCTACAGGGAGCAGGTCTCTGAGGGCAGGGGGGCCCCCCAGTACTTGGAAAGACACAGCTCTGCACAGGGAGCTGGAAGCAGAGGGTCTCTGCTCTGAGGTCTTGCAGTGGCCAAGCCCAAAGAGAAACGGGGTGTGGGGATTTTACAAGGAGTTAGGGAAGTCATTTACTTACACACTCAGAAGCAGTGATGGTTAATGAGCTGGACATGAAAGACTGGCCTTCATTCAAACTCACCAAAACCTCCAGGGTTCTGCCAAGAGACAAAGAAGAAACGTGAGCAGTCATGGAACAGCCAAGAAAGGCTGATACCTGCTCCACAGGCACTTGTACCTACAGCCTTTGCTCCACAGGGAGTGTCCTCAGGAGGGAAATGGAAGCCTGTACTTATTCCTATTTGGGAATAAGTTTGGTCTCCTTGGCAAAGGGCTGTCCAAGCAGATAATACTCCCTCCCCATTCCACATAGCAGAAAATAGTCCCAGAAGTTTTACATAAAATAAATTGAAGTTCAGCTGTAAAAGTAGCATTGTTTTGTCTATTCCATAACCATCTCCTTAGTCACACACAGACATTATGGTTAAAGATGTCGGATAATTATAAATGGTCAGGACTTGCTATAAATAGCCCAGAACACTGCATACAAATGGTATGTGGTTTACATTTTACAAATTAACCCTACAAGAAAACAACACATGGTGGATGTTAAACAGAAGAAGACTCTTCAGCTTCTCTGGCTTGGATTCCCAGGATTCAGACAGTTTATGTTATGCATAGATGTAATTAAATAAAAATGTAGATATCCATGAACTAAAATGATTAATCATTTACACCGTTCTTACATGTCATGAGTTTTTATTCTGGCACAAACACTGTAGTCAATATGGAGTTCAAAGCTATTTTAGCTAATTTGGCTAATTTCTTCTTCAGTTTTAGGAAAAATGAAGTGAGTTGCTTCCACTAAACTCATTTATAAATGATCTGTTCTGAATAATTGATCCAACAGAAAGAATAACTCTAATTTCCTTCTAATTGGAATTCACTGAAATAAGTGAATCCGAACTAATAAAAATCCCCAAAACTACTTGATTCCCTTGCAGAACAATAAATCTTTCCACAGTGAAACTTCAGTCAATGATGACTTTAAGATGTGATGCTTTTTATTTTTTTTAATTCCAATTATTTGTTTTGGCATTGTACTGAGGATTGCTGGGGGAAATTCCAGCATGAGGATTCTGTTCAGGTTTGGCCAAACACTCCTGGAACTGCAGGGCAGGAGGGCTTCTTGCCTCCCCTGGGGGAGAGGAGGACCCTGAGGCTCGCTGCTCACACACTCCTGCAGCTGCCCTGGCAGCCCCCCGAGTCCTGCCTGGAACGCCGCTAGTGAGCAATGAGGCCTTTTTGGTGGATGGAGTTTGCTAGCAAGGGGAGCAAAACAGGGACACAAAACACACCTGGATAAAACACCTAAGCCACACTGAAGAAACAGATCGTTCCCTGGCATCGTGGGGACCTCAACATGTCCTTGAGCTCACTGGGTTGTGGGAAACATTCTGTGAAATAGCAGAGATTTCCCAGTGGACTGGAGCTCCTTGCACACCTCGCTGGTTGAGTTAGCTGGGAGCCGGTGCCATGTGCCAGCCGGTGCCCGCAGCACTGACAGATCCCAGGGAGCAGGCTCACTGATCCATCGGCTCCAGCACGGACACGCTGCGCGAGGGCAGCCCTGCCAGACCCACTCCCACCCTGATACTCTGCTCCAGGGGTGAGATGTCACTGGAGTTGATCATAGCTGCTCACTTCTGGAAGCCACAGAGTGAACTCACACAGATAATTACCTCATCTTCAAAAGGGTGAACCTGTCAACACACAAAAGCACTCCTTCCCTGAGACTGTCATGGCTGTAGGGGATACCGAATACGTTCTTTCATTTCTTGAGCAGCCACCTGTTTGCTGGGCTGTGGGTACTTGTGATTCATACAAACACTTCCCCTTAAACTGGGAGTCCCAGAGAGAGGTGTCTGCTTCTGCACAGCTCAGAAACAGACACATACACAGACACATCCTAGTGTTTACCAGCAACCTGCCACATGTATGAGGCTTTCAGCTCAGCACTCTGCCCGAATTGAAAATATTCTGAGATGAAAATGACAAGCAGCAATGATCCCATTTCTCAGGCCCCTGCATCTATCACTGGTGATTGTCAGTGCCAGGAGAGAGCCACCCAGCAGAGCTCAGAACCACCAGGTCAAGAGAACAGGCCTGGCTCACCAGTGAAGGGTGAGGCTGTACTAGTTTCGTACCAGCACAGATCCCAGCTGAGGGCTGAGCTCTGGAAAGCTGCTACAGAGTGGGGTATCTCCTCACTTTGTGGAGCCCATCCGGAGTCAGGCAGTGTTGTTGCTGCCGCCCCCCGGGGCCATCCCGCAGCACCATCCTGCAGCCGGGCAGCAGGAACAGGCAGAGCTGGGCAGCTGCTCTCCATGCAGCTGGACACACAGGGCTGCAGAGACCAGGCTCCAGGGAAAGGCAGCGGAGCTCTGCTCACACCTTCTCAAAACCCCAGCAGTGCCCACGTGGGCGAGACAGTGGCTTTCCGGGGCTTTGAGCCAGGATGCTCATTCCCACCCTCTGCACCCTTCTGACACTGCACCTGTGCGAGGTGGAATCGGAGAGCTGGCTGAGCAGCACAAGTGAAAATACAGTGCTGTGCAGCACAAACCCTATTTGCTCTGCCTCTACCCCAGCCCTAATGTGCACCTTCCTGGCGGTCTGTACTTCAAACCCGTTTCACTGTACTAGGAAAACCTGCCTTTCATTTACAGTTCACAGCCCTTCCTCCACGTGGAAGGGATTTTCCTATCCTTTGTCTGAGCAGTATCACTTTTTGGATGGGAACCAATCCTGGAAAACTTAAGTCTGAGAGGAGCTTTTTTAAAATGTCCTAATTTCTGACCAGAGGTAACCACAAGACTCCTGCAGCTTGAAGCTGCCTAGGTCCTGGCCCACTGCCCATCCTAATAGACAATTTACCCAAAAATGTAACTTAAGGAGACCAAACAGTTGCAATTCCTTTCCTCATGCCCGCTGCTGGTTTATTGTGGCAGCAGAGGGATGTGGCCCCGTGCCATATGTCCCTGCAACTCTGGTCTAAAGCCTCACATTCCCTGTGAAATACAGCTGACGTTTCCATCCACGGTAACCTATTTGCAAAGTATTCATTTGCTCCTTACTTTATGGGAAGCTACTAAAAGACTGCCATTTTATGACCCATTAAAAAAGATGAAAAAATTAAATACAATTGTGAAAGACATTTGCTGCAAGTAATAAATAATTTACCTCAAATTTTCACGCACTGAAAATTAAACTGGCAACCTCTCAAAAAGTTACCAAAATTATGGTGACAAAGGTACTTCAGAATCAAATGCACGCACTAAAATAGCAAAAATGCTGTACATAAGAGGAAGGCAAAAAATAGGTTTGTGCATTTAAAGGGCATTTTCCCTTCCAACACTGCCTTCATGAAATAATGGATAGCTTTATAATAGGGGCTCCATTTGACCAACCTCACTCGGATGACTTTGGCCACTGCTTGCTGGAGTACAATTAACATTTAACCCCTCCATTCTCCCTGACCCAAGCAGAGAGGACTCGTTCCCGGGGCTCTGTTAACAAACACTCCTGGACCACAAAGACGACTCTGCATCCAGGGATTCATCCCTGCCGCAGGAGGAGGCAACGCACAGAGGAAGGGATTTCCAGCCCGGGCTTCTGGGTGCGCTGCTCTTTGCAGAGCTACAGCCCCCAGCTGCACAAGGACAGGGCCAGTTCTCCAGGGCAGGGTTCCAGCCCTGCCTGTCACGTGTGCTGCAGTCCCACTATGTCACAGGCCAGCTGTGCCCAGGGAGCACTGGGACCGTTCACGTAGTGGGAACTGTGCTGGGGACAGGACATGGCCTGCAGTTAGGAGAAGTGGTCAGAGGTGTTTTCCTCCTATCAGCCACACAGGCATAAAAAGGAGCACTGAGTATTTTCCTGAGGATAGCAAGACCTGCTCATCCTGGAATTCATTATGGTGTTTGGGGATTCTGGTAAAAGAATTAGTATAAACTCTTCCCCCTGCCCTTCTTGGTGTACCTTAGCACTGATACAAATTCAGATGATGGTTCTTTAGGACTCGCTCTTGTTACCTCAGAACCCTCTAGCTTTTCCAGTCACACGTGGACACAGGTGCAGAGAGACACAAACTTTCACTGAATGTGAGAGCACTGGAAACCAGCGAGGAACTATCTCTGATCTTGTGGAATCATGGGAACCTGCAGTAGCAGAGTATGAAATGTCATTATTCTGTTAAATTAGACTATTAATTCAGCTCGGGATCCTATGGCCAGTGCATAATGTGCAGTACTTAGTTCTGCTCACGCAGTCCTCGCTAATGCTCTGGGAACGCTGTGTGCCCTAGGAGGGACGTGAAGGACTGCGCCAGAAATTACTACTGATCTTAACACCACATCCATATGGCTGAGGGGCCTGTTAGCCTATACAATTCATTGAGGATGTTTCCATCTGTGAATAGGTCCCATTATACCCTAATTGTGTCAGTTTAAATGTATTTTTAAAATATTTGCACAAGTTAATATTTATAACAGATATTAAGCCTTATCCAGCCCTGTTTCTGGCTTCCCCCCACCTGAGTGGATTTCTCTGGCTATTTTGGAGGGTGGAGGTTGTCCCATGTGAGCACCAGACACTGGGAACCATACTGTCTTTTATTTTTATTAACAAAATGTTGTGTAGGGAAATAGAAGACAATGCCTACAATAAACACTTCACCTCAGTGAGGTGCAATGGAAAGAACCGGCGCAGGTGGGAGCAGTTCTGACCCCCTTTGGCTCCCTGCCTGGGGCTGCAGGGGAAGCACAGCTGTCTGCAGTGAGGAGTAATGTCCATATCCCATCCAGGTCTGGATTGGCCATGGGCACAGCAGTGATGGGGGGTTATTGCCTTCACCTGAGCACAGGGGCTCTGCCACAGTGAAAACCACAGTGAACAGGTGAAAACAGCCTGACCGGGAGCTGGCGTCCTACCAATTGCTGAGCAGCAGCAGAAGTCAAAAGGGAGAAGCACAGGTAATTCCCTTTTCGGCTGGAGCTGGGAACGACTGCATCCTACCTGTCGGAAAGTTTCTGCACAGCAAGGCAGGAAGAGGACTGAGCAGCTGTGAGAGAGCCCAGAGTTTATCCTGGGGGCTGGGAGCTCCTGCAGCAGCAGCAGCCGCCCGCCTGCTCTCCTCAGTTCGGTGCATCTCAAAGGACAGCTGGCTTCTGAGAGGTGACTGAGCTCTTTGTACTTTTGCCTTTTCACACTACTGGCCAGTGTTATGTGGAATGGGAAATATTTTAGTCAACATGCTGGCTCTTAACTTACAAACCCTATCAAATTATCCTTTTAATTGGTCCCCTTGTCTCTGAACAATGTTTTTTTCCAAGTGATATGTGATCACCATGTAGGATTCAGACTGAGGATGAGGCTTGGAAAATTGGTCCTTAAACCCACACTTGCATGCTGACACCAGCTGCCAAGCTCTGCAGTGGCTCAGCACTCAGCACAAGCACTGCCCCTTACTTTAGTGAGCAATTGAGCTCTGTGGCCAAATAACACCCCTGTCTGTATTGCCACAAAGGCTTTGGTAAGGCTGTTTAGTGAAGAGCACCACAAAAAGACCTTATCATCACTTCTTAGTTAGAAAGAGAACAGAAATGCTCAACACAGCCACAGCATATTAAGCTTTTCTTAAGTGTCCTTGAAATACACGTGAGACTGAGCTGTAGCTTCCAAACACTCTGCCTTTGCTGACAACAGCTTTTTTTTAGATTATTACCTTTCTCAGCAGAGGAAGAAAAAGCACAATAAAAATAACAGTAGTGAAGGTAGCCATAGCAAGCAACAGTAACTCTCTCCTCCCTCTGGTGTTCAGCCACTTGCTTCCATGTTATCAGACAAGTCACTTAAGTTCCACACACCTTTCTCAGCACTCATTCAGACAGGCAAAGGGATGTTTTGCACAGTTCCATGCCTCTGACCAAGTTCTGGGCCTGTCTGACTGAACAGTTGATGCAATTTGTGTGTACCTGTATACACAGCGGCTTGTGTACATCAGTATTTGTGGGCAGCTTCTGTGGGAGAAACACCTGGGGTGGTTGTCAGGGCTATGTTTTAAATGTGAGTTGGGACTTTGTGATAACACAGACTGTCTCGGGTTGTTGCATTTGTCTGTTTGTCTGTCTGGTAGAACATAGTGAGACAAAGGTGAGGTGTAACCTGCAGGTGTGGCTGAGGCACCAGGTAACCGGCCTTGCAAAGGGTGAGCACCCAGTGAGTTCCAGAGTTAGATATGTGTGTGGGCAGTGGGACTGCTGGATGAATTCAGCTGGGAGAGGAGTGGCTGGGCTGGGCAGTGCTGGGCTGTTCTGCCAACACTGAGCCAGTAAGACCTGACAGTGGTTGCTAGGTCAGGTGTAATTATGAGCTTGTTGCTTTTGAGGCTTGCAGTGTTAGAGGGAAGCACAACTGTGCCATGCCAACAGGAGGCACTGACACTCAGTGTGGCAGTGGCAGTGTGTCAGCCCGAGCACTCGAGTGCGTCCTCTGAGAGCACTAATGGTGCCGGATCGGCTCGCATGCTATTCAGATATTTATTTTGTGTTTGCTTGAAGAATCAGGCCAATGTTTTTGAAAGCACATTTAACTATACCATATGCCTACTTAAATCATCCCTATCAAACAAGTTGTGGGTTGCTGCTCTGGTTCATTCTGTTCTGTTTTCCCTCCCTTCCCAATGTGTTTATGTGTATTTATCCAATTTGCTCTGTTCCTCGTGCCAAATGGCAGGTCTGAGATCCCAGCCAGGCAGGGGCAGCTGTGCTATTGTTGGTGTCTGACAAAACAGAGGTCATGGGCTGGGCCTGCAGCTCTAGCTCTAATGACAGCTTGTGTTGGACATTATGGGGCAGTCACAGTGTAATCGGGGCTCTTGGGCCCTCAGAAGTAGGAATAAACCTTAACTTGCCCCTTGGTAACTAAGAACTCAACTCTCACTTTTGAAGACATAATTCCTGTGCAAATTAGTCTCTTGCAAAATAGTGTGCTGCTTGTTTACTTTATTGCCATAGCTCCTTCCTCTGTCTGGAAAACACCCAACTTTAAACAGCCCCACCACAAAAAGCCAAAACCTGAAAGACCAAGCAACAGCCTAGCTGGAAGAAAGGGCCTCTCCTGCATGGAACTGACCCTAGCTGTTCTCACTTCTAAGACTGATGAGAGCTATGAGCTGTGCCAACCTAGGAAGCGACTGCCCACAGAAAGGAGTAGGCTTTTGTCCTCCATGGGAGGACTCGTCCCTCCCTGGAAGGCTGTTCCAAGTCCAGCCCAGCAGCTCCAGGCAGTGACACAGCAAGGCACACTCATTTCCAATGCCTTCTGTTCAGCAAGAGATCAATCTGCAGGGCTTGGGAATTCTTCACTTTCTGCTCCTTGGGCGGCCTGACACTTTATCCCCTGTCCTGCTGCCTTTCAGCCCAGAAGGCAGGAGTCTCTAAGCTACTGAAAAGGGTGTTCCTCGGAGCTGCAGGCCAGCTCTGAGGCACCAGAGCAGGCTGCAGTGGCCGGGCAGCTGAGGAGGGCAGGCACAAGTCCCTGGAGCCACTCGGAGAGCGTGCAGCTGCCGTGGGGGCTGCCTGGCTCCGGCTGCGACACTGCCGGGCTGCTCGGCACGGAAAAGGGAGCGCTGGGGAAACAGCGCATCTGTCACCCACACACAGCCACAACCTCCACTCAGGGCAGCACCAGATGTGTTTATTCGAAGCATGTACTAACTAGCTACTTAATGGCTTAGAATTATTAGCCACAAGTTAATTAGGCAAACATATTCACCATCAGTCACCTTACAAAGCATCGCTGCTTCAACACTGCTTTTACTTCCAGAGAGCCTTTATCAAGCACAGGAAACAGGAGGGGAAAACTATGAGTTCCATAAAGGAGCTGCAGTAAGAAATAAATGTCTGAAAGGTGTTCATGGTGTCCTAAAGAATGCTAGAGTGCAGAGGTAATGCCTTAGCTGAGTGCTTCTCCATGCTGCCAGCACAGTAGCACAGGGGAGAAAGCAGAGAGACTTAGGAGCCTGCAGCTGATGGGGAAGAAAAGGGAAGTAACAGTGGAAAAAAAAATTCCTTGGTATAGTTAAATCAAATTTGCAAGGACTGGCTCCCCTGCTGCTGCAGGTATGTGCCTGGGGGTGCAAGCACTTGCTTGGCATCTTGCCTGCATGATCAGTTTGGGATCACCACTGTCCCAAGGGAACAGCCTGGTTCCCCAGGATAGGAGACTCAAAAGCAGTTTGTCAGTTCCTGGCTCCCAGGTCACAGGCAGCAGTGAAAGGAGTAAAGGCTCAAGAGACTATCTGTGGGTAGCAGGGACAGTCAGGATCCCTGGTTAGGAGCCTGCCATGACAACCACTCCGTGGAACACCTTCCAGCTGCTCTCCAAAGGGACAGCTGTCTAGAAACCCAGTGAGGTAATCTGAAGGATGGAGCCCACAATCCATTCATTTTCTCTGTGCCTGTTTGCTTTCATGTGTCCACGCTCTTCCCCTTAAATCTGGTGCTGGTATTAATAAAAATGACACTTGGAGAATGGAAAGCAATATTCAAGGTACTGCTCTTCCATTGTCATGGAAACATCTTGCACCTAAAAATCCTATAGCCCCCAGAGCTGAATGTGAGGCATGTGATGGGTAACGGATTACCTCCTGCATTGCTGTGTTCTTTGTGCCAAGTGAGCTGCCCCAGCCTCCATCAGCTCCTGGGAAACTGCAGGTAACTAAGAATTTGGCAATACAGGAGTAGTAATTTTCCTTCCTACCACCCAGAAAAGAATTCCTATAGAATCTTTGCCCTTTGAAGTGCCACCAGCTGTTTGTGTTGGACAGGACGTAGGAAGCGATAAATGGAAGCTGAAGACAGCAGCATTTGAATGGAGGGAAAATAAGGTGATTAATTGCAGCATTGTGGATCGCCCCACCTTGGCACGCGAGCTAATCATCAAGTTGAGATACCTGGGAGAGAAGTTTCCCTTACACTCAGGCTTAGGCTGGGATTTGTCTTTTTTGGCTCTATTATTCCTTAAGCTTCCAAGCCCAAGGAGAAGGACGCTGCACACTTCTGTCCTAGCAAAACCTGAGTTCAAGTGCAGGATGAACAAAGATGGAAGCTGGCCAGCACTCCAGCTGCATGAAAAATAGACTTCTGTAGTTCCCTGAACTATTTTAAGAACAATGACAATTCCTCAGTCTGTTGGTTCAGTTTGAATAATCCACTGCCTAGCCTGCATCCATCCTTTCATGCCTGGCTTAGAGGAGAGTCTGCACAAGATGGGATGTTTGTGGTAGGCACCAATAAATCCAAAATGTTACTGTGATATTCCAGTGAGAAATGAGACTTGAAACCGACTGAGATAGCAGTAGTCACGTAACTGTTCACTAAGAAGTATTTCAGTAAAACAGTATTTGTTGTGCTAGTTTAAACGGTAGTTGCTGTCACCCAGTCACCTAATAAAAGCAGATTTGTAAGTGTTCAGGCACTGGTTTTGCTGCTGGCCTTTCCATGCAAGGCAGAGGGGGTTTCACCAATGGCTCACCAGAGCAGAAGGCAGCTGGAGGTGAAGCCAAGCCTACAGAGTGTTCCAAATGGAAACTCACAGAACTTAGAGCAGAAGTGAGAGAATAAAAGTGAAGCTAGCAAGGAATGCAGACTTCTAAAATATCACTGTTTTTCCTGTACTAGTGTTCAAAGAGACAGGGACTCTGATTGCTTTCCAAGGCACAATGACTACGGAAAAACGTGCAGTAACAGAGAGGTCACAGCCACCTCTGGTTTGGTTTGAATCTCTGGAGCTGTGCCAGGACCACAAATCCAAGTCTCAGCTAAAAAGGGGAACTGCTTTTCTCAAATATTCTGAGACCTTACAAATGTGACTTTTAAATGGGCAATGCAGTAGAATCAGTCTTGTTTACTAATCAGCTTGATTGTGTTGCTACACCTGCCATCACAGTGCATAAGTGATCTCTCAGAGCAATTCAACCTGGGTTGGCCTCCTTACCTTCCTGCAAGGTGTATGTGTACTTTCCCTTCCTGCTTTATTTCAAACTTGTAACGTGTTTTATAAGGCATTGGTTGCTTGTGTGAAAATCATGAATAATTGTCAGCTGTTAGCTGATCAGGAGCCTTGTAAGTGGGCTGGGTTTGTAAGCAGACTATGGAGTTTTGCACTTTAGAAGCAGCATGACAAGAAGGGATTTTAAATGGCACAGGCAGCACAGTCATGTTGTCACCCAACCTAAGGATGATACATCCATCTGCTACAGGGTACTGTGCAAAAGCAGACTTTGGAAAAAAAGGCTTGGTTAAATCTGCAGCTGGCACTTGGGAAGCTCCAGACGCAGTGCAGCCAACAGCTGGGAAGGAAGCAGAAACACACTGTGGCGGAAGTCCAGGAGAGCAGGGGCTCACCGACCCAGCATCCTGGATACTTTGGCATTTTATCAATTCCACACATCTTAGTGTTGCTCTGCATGTGAAAACTGCTAATTCATCAGGCAACAAGAAGTGCCTCCAATTAGGAAAAGATAAAATGAAACCTGTTCCCGGAGTCTTGACTGTTCACCCAGAAACCAAGCTGCAGGTTTAAAAGTCACACAGCAAACTACCTCGGGCTGCTTGTGTTGTCTTAATTCCACCCAAAAGAGCGCTACAAAGGAACAGAGTGGTTGTTGCTACGTGAGTGATTAATATCATCTCCACTACATGAGGAATTACTGGGAGATATCTGGTGCTAGGCTAGGATGTGCCAGTGGGAAGTCAAGAGTTCAAGTATGTGTGTATCTTTGATAGCTGTCTGTCTTGTGCACAGTAAACTGCTCAGCTCTGGGCCAAAGCTCCAACTCCTTCAATAGCAGGTCAGGGAACTGTGTTTCTCATGGTAACTTGGGAAATGAATTTTCCTGTGACCCTGTAGAACTCCAGCTGTATTGTGCTGAGGTGCATTATCCACACTGCAGTTCCAGGGTAGCAGCTGTCTGCTTCAGTAACACTCAGCACTGAAAGGAAAAATGCAGCATGTGCAATTCACTTCCCAGCTTTAACCTCTACCAACGTGTCATGCACTTTACACGCATTTGGCAGGACCGGCTGTTTACGTACTCTGAGACAAACTGTGTGTGGGAAAGCATCTACAGCATCAGCTTTTGGGCAGCTTCATACTGGGACCTGATTTGCTACTGCTCTTCTGTTGTACAGTAACTCCACTGAAATACCTGGCCTGGGGAGGAGGGGTTTTAACCTGACCGACTGACATTGATGACAAAATCAGTTCCCTTCCAAGTTTGGTGGTGCTGAGTGGTTTTAGCTAAGCCAGGAGCTGCAGAGCTGCTGTGCTGGGCGCTTGCACACCCCCAGCAGCTCCCAGCTGAGCGCTGCTGCTGCGCTGTGGGACACAGGGGCCTGACACCCTGCTGCACACAGCATAACGCATGTGTCGCACAGCTATGTGAAAAGCAACATGGGAAAACACACAGAGGATTGAATGTGTAGTTCTGCTCCACACATCTTCTCCCTGCCAGCCATGACGCAGCTCGGGAGGCACACCCTCTGCCCGAACCACCCCGCTGGGGTCAAGCACTGAACCTTTTTCCTCTGTGGTTTTCCAACTTCCCTCCCCCGGCCTGCTGTGTAACACACAAACCAGATGTGCGTTTGGAGCTTTTCTATCCATCCGACAGCCCAGCTGAGGCGGCTCCTTGTTGCTCAAGTCAGAAATAGAAGTACAGACAAGTCATCTATACAATGTACTTAGCTCTTCAGCTCCTGAACTGCCACAGATAAATGCCAATGCAGAACTGCTGTGCTTCCTATCAGATTAGCATTAGCCTTGTCTCTGCAAGTCTCTGGGAACAACTAGACAAACGGGGAGGAAGCCAACAGCCAAAGCCTTGGCCCTCCCACAGGACCCAGATCTGATGTGCAGTTTTCTGACTTCAGATTAGCTTAGGGTCTTCAGAAATCTGCACAATGAACTCCAAGTGATCACAAGGCCCTGAGGCACGTTTGAGTTTGAGAGGAGGAGAGAAAGGATTAGTTCTCCAAGGGCCAGAAGTAATGTGCAGCCCTGGCCAGTGACACTGAGAATAAGGCCAGAGCTGCAGTTTAGCCCCAGTGCTGGAGCTGTTAATTCATTGGATCAGGATGTGTGGAGCAGGGGTACACATCCTGACACCTAATTTTAATAATAGCTTGTAAGTGTCAGTGGTAATGTCATCTCTTTAACAGTGGGCCTGAAGATGATCCAGACGAGAGCATATTATGCCCTGTTAAAACAGCTAATCTGCATAAAACTTATGACAAGCCAGATCTTTTCAGTATTTCATAAACTGGCTGAATATTCATTTTTAAGGCACTGTCCGAATGGGTTTGGTCACAGATGACTACTCCAGCCCACTCCAAAGCTGGCATATACACCAGGGAAGTAACACAAGAATGGGGGAAAAATGCAACAACAAACCAACCCCTGTAAAAGCAACAAAATACTGCCCTCAGCCAAACCCCTCCCAATTAATGTCAGCTACAATGATGCCAAATTCCAGCAAAACATGGGCTGGCATTTGGTTCAGTACTTACTGGCCACTTTTGTACAGGATCGGTGCAGGGCAGAGCAAAAAATCAGATTCTACTGTTTTAGGCCTTTCATCTGAAAAAAACAAAAAATTAAAATCACATGAGTTTACTATGCTGTGCAGCTTACATGAGGAGCTGCCATGTGAATGTGCTTTGAGGTCCCTCCATTCCAGTGCTCCTTACTGGTCTGTCCTGGCTGGAACCCACAGCAAGGCAGGCCCAAGGTAAGGAACACAGCTGTAAATGCTGGGTGAACCCACATTACAGCGCTTCTTTGAGCTACTCGAGTAAGCTCGTGCTCTTCCAGAGACAACATTTCCTAGAATCAACACTGTCTTTGTGGAGAGTGAGAACACTATTAGTAGTTTCCCAGTAGTTGGAAGATGGTTTGTTTCTAGCTGGCTCCATCCTTGTGTGTTGCATTACAGAACTGTTTTATTAGCTGTGACTTTTTCTCCAGTGTTTCTTCTGGTTTTGAGTCTGTGTGATTTACAAAGCACCTATCTGTAAAGCACATGAAGCATTTATTTGTGGAGCCTTGTGTCCACTACAGCATTTATATTCTGCAAGTGTGAGGAGGGGAGGACAGAGCTTTTTTTTTTACCTCACATGTTTGGTGAACTGGGGAAAATTTGGCTCCTGTGTGCAGAACCATCCGCCCAAACTTCCCCACGGCAGGACTGATGATCTCTGTACAAGGACTATTTCCTGACCATGGGGTGAGAGCAGATAAGTGATCTGCCAGATCAACTTGGAGATGACTCTGTCCTGCATTTCAGAACAAGCAGACAGACAAGCGGTTCAGGGGCAGCTGAAGAAGGAGCTGTTGGCATAAATGAGCTTTTCATATGTGCTATAATCTGCACTGACTGCTTGGCCTAGATTTGGGGCTAGTTGTGAGGTGGGGAAGAGGGATTAGCACATTGCCATATGTTTTTGTCTTAATGGTATGTTTCATAGATTATTTTTCTATCCCACAGCTCTATTTGGCAGGTTTCCTTTCTAGCATTTGGTAATGGTTCTTTATAAATGCAGAACGTGAAAGATGCCAAATGCATCCTTTAAAAGCAGGGGAATTGACACAGTAAGGGTGTGCTCAGAGGCTGGTCCCAAAAAGAGCCCAGACTCTCAGTGAGGGGAACTCCAACACCAGCAGATCCTCACCAAATTGAGGGTTCTGCAGAGGGACTGCAGGAGAGTGCAGTGACACGGGGATGGCTGTCCTTCTCATGGGACCATCTCCTTCCTCCTGCTACTGCTCCAGGTGCCCTGCCTATCTTCCTGTTCATCCTGGCTCCACTGGACCCCTTTAGGCTTCCTTGAAGCATGCAGTCAGGATCCAGCACAGAGCTGTGGAGAATGACCTTGTGTGCTGCAGGAAAGACCACTTGCTAATTCCCTGTTCTGTTCCTGTACGAGTCCCCAGCCGCTCGCTGTTGTCCGTTGCTGAAGATGTGGACCGGGGGGATGTAGAAGGCCCTGGCAAGACCCCATAGAGCAGATTGTGTTTTTATAATCAATACATCACTGTGCCATTCCCCTACCCTCATGTGCTTCAGCACACCCCTTTCTGAAGCCAAGAAAAAACAAGCAGCCCAGAGCTGTAGTTGGCAATTCTCACATCAGATGGTAGCAAGTGTTTGTGGGCAATGGCAAGCAGAGGTGACAATTGTAATGGAAACTGAAGGGAAATTTATACAAGCGAAATTGACTTACACAGGCTGCCTGCATCCAGAACTACTGGGTTATCCTTTTATTCTGACAAATTATTGTAGGTATTTAACAGGCAGGAGAGACTGGCAGCCAATTCCAGTATATATCCAGTATATCCTTCCAGGGTAAGGAAGAAACTGCGCTGGAAAGACAAGTTCGATTGTGTAGGAATTTTAGACAGGATAATACAGAAATCAGACAGTAGGCAGGGAAAAAATCAGTCTTAGTTTTTCTTTCAAGTTTCTTTTTTGGTTGTTTTCCAGTCAGGCTGGCTTCTAAGGAATTCTGTTTAGAGCTAGAGGTTAGATGTACTTATCCTAACCATCCACTTGAGTTTCTGGATAGAAAAAGATAGAAATATGGAAAACTCACATAGGAGCTAGGGGGAAGTGCCTGTACAAGGTGTCATGGTCACCATCTGAAACAGAATTTCTTTGGGCTGTGGTTGCAGTAAGCCCTGATGCTGGGCACACGGAGCTCAGACCATGACAAAATACACAACTGTTCTGACCTGGACTTTTTCTATGCTGTTGCAGGAGGAGGACTGACGTGCCCCTGAAACCCACAGCACACCTGGCACACCACCCAGAACAGGCAGAGACCTTGCAAAAAACAAGGTAAGTGCTTCTAGGAATTGCAATGACATGTCTTGGCCAGGAGTATTGTGCAGAAAAGGACCTCAGTCAGTACACTGCAGTGACAGGTTTGTTCATCAGCAAACATCTTCTTGCCCAAACATCAGGAGCCAAACAGTTCTCACCCATGATAATGCCCACAGCCAGGGGGCTGCCAACACCACTCGCCGCTCACAGCTAACGGCACCCGGTAGCAAAATGAAACCACTGAGCAGAGTGTGAAACACCTCTCCTGCCTTTAGTCATACTCAGAGCTTTCCTGTTCTCCTCTTTGCTGTCTCTCCCTTTCATTGTTCATCAGCTGAGTTAACGAGAAGCTAACTCAGTCACTTGCTCAGGATTGCAAAGGCAGAGGATGGCAAACGCCCACACTTACGGATTGTTGTTCCGTTCACTTGATAGGTACAAGTCACGCTGTCGGTTCTCCCACCAAGGGTTAAGCCGCTTCCTCTGAGAACAACTTGAAACTCCTCTGGGGGGAAAAACAAAAACACAAAATCACCATATTTCAGTAAGCTACAACAAACTGCAGTAAGTTACACCAGGGCAATTCCATGTAGTCTTCAATAAACAAAGCACAACACAGTAATGCTTCCAACTTAGGGAGATCTTTTTCCTGAACCCTTGTAGTGAATTCTCCTTACAAATGGGCAAAGTCAAGATTTGTTCCCTAATCTTTATTGAGACAATTGAAATAGATTCGGGCTATCACCAGGATCCAGGGCTCAGCTGCACAGAAAGACAGAGTTTCTCAGTGCACGAGCAGTGTGGGACTCAGAACAAGAAGACTCCCCAAATCCAAATCAGGCTCACTTCAAGTGCCAGCTGAAGGAAACATTTCTCCTTAGTACTGTTTCTCTGCAAGTTGCCTAAGGGCCACACTCTCGGTGAGCTGTGCAGAGGAGGAGTGAAAAGATTATACCAGGGCCACTGACTTGACACAGAGCATCTATTTTTCCACAAAAGCATCCAAGTAACATTTTGCAACTATCTTATTTTGATTGATCTCCAACTATGTGTGGATTATGAAGCTGAGAGACAAAGCCTTAAAATTCTGTGCAACTCTTCTATTTCATTAATACATTGCTCTTACTGCCCAAAAATGCAGTCACGTGCTTTGTTCTTACACTCCACAGATTTTGGGGCAGGTCTGGGCCAAGTGCAGAGCAGACTCAGGGAAGAGGGGCAGGTAAATGCTCACCAATTTACATGTGCATTACCCAAGCTATGGAAGCAGGCTGTGGCAGCCAGCTCCTCTGAGGAGCACAAGAAGTCAACAGAGAATTCCAACATTTCTTTAACTTCTTGAGGACTTAACCTAGAGATGCTTTATTTTAGAGACGTAGAGCTTTCCTTCAGATAAAACGGGGAAACCACAGTCCTATGTAATAATTGAGTAGTTTTATAATTGTATAAAATTATAAAACCTTACCTCCTACACAGACACTGGATGGCTCCAAATACAAAACCTCGGTGCACGATTGTTTCAAAACCTATTGCCAAGGAGGAAATAGTCACAAACAAGTTCCACAGCACAATTTCAATGAGCAATCTTAGTTCAAAACAAATGCTTTTCCCTAGAACACACATACAGCTACAGGTTTGGTTTGCTAAGTCTGACTTTGTAGGACATTGCCTGGAGCATGCACAGCTCCTGCACACCTGCACTGTCAAGTCTAGGAGTTCCTATGGCTTAGATTAGTTTCTTAAACCCCAGAGAGCCTTTAAAATATGATATGCTCAGATCCATAACCCTTTTTTCCATGAACCCCAACCCTAATGTTTAAGCCAAAAATGAATCACAAGGAGCCTGATCCAAAACCTAATCCAGTCAAAAGCAGCCTTCCAACAATCAAGCCTGATGGAGCCAAGTGCACGTTACTGCGAGTGCTGGCACCTTGCCCTGCATCGAGAGGCACAGGAACAGTGGTGTTCCTGACGGCCTGCCTGCCGTTGGACAGGGATCTCACTTCAGCTCTCCCTGTTCTAAGTGGTATTTTTAGCAGGCATTTGTAAACATTCCGTGGCATCGGTTCAGGACCCTGTAATCACGTGCACAGCAGAGTCCCCTCTCTATCTCCGTTTGCCAGGTCTGTGTCTGCTGCAGAGCTGCCCTGACTTCCTAGGAATGTCCCTTTGTCTTACTTTTAACTCCTGCCTTCCTCTCGATAGGAATCTTTACGCTCCATGATGCTTCCCAGTGGTTTCTGTTGCTACGTATCCAGGCCCAGCAGAAACTATCATGTAGTCACTGTTCTGACAAGAAGCACGCCAAGCTCCAAGAAAGAGAGCATCCTGCCTCAGTGAACACTTCCCATATTGCCTCCCTCCCCACAAACTGTTGTGCACAAATTAATTTTTTAGTGCTTTAAAACCTATGTTAAATATCAAGCAGTATTTTTACAAACTGGATGCATTTGGATAAGACACAGCAACAGAGATCTTCGGAAAGAATGTAGCCCAGAGTTCAGTGCAAGCCAGGCAGTTCACATTAGCTGAGAATCTCACTTCCAAAAAAGGGCTCTAGCCTTTTGATTCCTATTGCAGTGTGGAGAGAAGTTCCCTGTGGCTTGTTTGGAGGCTGGGGAATATTTTGTGTAGCCTTTTATTCCTTTGCTGTAAAAGCATGTTCAGGTTTTTTTCACTAAGGAATCAGATAAACAGCTCAAGTGAAACTGAGACTGGAGGCCAGCTTTATGTGAAGTACAGATGCAGCAGGTGGCACAGAATTCAGTCATTTTGTTTTTAGAAGGAGAACCTTGCAATCCCTGTCCTGGCTCCATCTGCCCAGTGCCTAAGGAGGGGTCAGTGGTACCAACTGGAGATCAGGGAGAGGAGAAGACAGCGTGGGAGAGAACCTGACTTCTCTTGCAAAGCAGTAGTTCTCTAATTTCATTGCACCCCAGGGTGAATTTTCTAACACTATGCTTCCAAGTGCAATATAAATCAGGAAAAACCTACCTGGATATATGTTATTTTAAGACCACGACAAACAGCATGCAAGGAGAGATTCTGAGAAGTGATGTCATCCACTTCATCTCCAGAGGCCCACACCAAATATAGGACTCTGCTCCTAGGCTCACAAAGGCTTTTCTCTCGTTTCCTGCCCTCCCCCTCCTCCCAGTGCTGACTTGACCAGAGAGAACCGATTCCCCGAAAACCCAAGTGCAAGATAGAGCAGCAACCTGTCAGCCTTTGTCCTGATGTCTGGCAGCTTCAGAAGTGGAAAGCTGTGGTAAGACTACAGGGTGTTCTTTGTCTTCTGAGGCGACCTGTGCAGCGTGGGACTGGGTCCAGCTGGAACCCGAGCCAATTGAGGTAAAGTGGCCACAGCTGTGAGCTCGTTAACAAAGGTGTGGCTGCTGGGACAAGACAATGCAGTGGGGTTCTGTTCTTAGGTAGTCAGTCTCTTGGACCGCAAGAAAATGGGACATAGAATCCAAGCCCCAAACATCCACTTGTTCAACAGCAGCACAACTGACTGCTGAGGAAATGATCCTGTAGCTTCCTCTTGTGCAGGACTTGCTCCATTGCTGCCACGCTGCAGCGGCGGCAACCATGTGTGTTAGGTTTTAAACCCTGGTGTACTGGAGGTTGGGTTCTCAGAGCAGCCAGCACAAGAGCCAGTGGCACAAATGCAGCTTGCGCTCCATGCCGACTCTGCTGCCAGGCACTGCTCTGCAGGAGAGCTGGATGCAGGGCAGCCTCCCACCCCTTCAGTGAAATCCTTTCTGATGGCTGTTGAGTGGACCCTGTGCAGTTTCCATAGCATCTCTCAGGAAAGCAGGTTAATCCTTTCAGCACACTTCTGAGAGCAGAAGTAACCAGAAGAGAGGCATCCAAGATACCCAGGGGGCACTCACAAGCCCACTCTCCCTTGATGCCGACTCGCGGGCACACATTGGGTCCTACCTACCCAAACACGCTTTTCTTTGCTCAAAGGGTCGCTTGCGAACAGCTGCTGGGCTGCCCAGCTCTCCTGGGAGCACCATGGCCATCCCAACTGGTGCTGTGGAGCTTTAAACCACCTCTCTTCAGGCTATTTCAGTGGCTTGCAAGTAAGCGCACATGTAAATCTTCTTAAAACAGTTGTAGGCAGTTCATTTATTAGGTCCACTTATCCATTACCAGCTTTTCCATGTGGCCCCACTTTTCACCTAGCGCATTTTTCCCAGACCAACCTGGTTGTTAATTAATATGTAAAATCTGTACCTGTGTTCATGGCACTTTCCATGTGCTTCCCACAAGAAGGTTCCTGAAGGCTCCCACAAACTTCAATATTTCTTAAAGCAGTGGATTCTCATTTTTGTCATTATTAACATATTTCCTCCCATTGAATCTGTTGGAGAAACACTGCCTGTCTCTGACCTGCAGGTGTCTGAAGTGACCACACACTCGGGTTTTGTCAGCTCTGAGCTGCAGAAACACCCCACACCCAAATTCTGCCATCAGCACTGGAAGGGCAGATGTCCCTGCAGCATGCTGCACAAAGGCAGCCAACCAACAGGCTGACATCACGCTCCCCACTGCTCATGGTCTTTACAAATTCCACCTCTGTTTATCAATTTTGCTTCATCAGAGATCTTTCCCCTGCTTTATGCAATGTTTCTTCCTCTGGAAAATGTGCTTTGTAGATCTTCCAGGACCTCTTTAACCTGTCACAGGCCAGGCCTGGCTCTCCCTGGACTCTTTTTTCAGCTTTGCTGCTGCCTCTTTCAAGTTCCAATTGTTTAACAGCAAAGCAGGATGGCTCCTGCATCTTTTTGAGCATTTGGCCTGCAATACCCTCAGCACGTGCTGTGGAACAGAGCTGTACCAGGCCACACAGTGTTACACAAACAACAACTTTCCCTTCCAGGACTCTAATGAAGGTTGTGTTCCGTGAAATTGTGAGAACAATGCACTAGTAACAAGCCGTGAGCAACCCAACCGTACAGGGGCAATTAACAAAATACGCTAAGTGTCAATTTGTCTTGCAACCTCACTCGGTTTCGCTTAGCCCCATATGCAGTTCAAAAGTTTTTGGCAGCAGGCAGCACCATAAATCATAACTTGCATGGCATCTGTTCCTGCCCAGAACCGCACAGTGCGTACAGGATTTGGGTAAGTCATCATCCCAGCTGGATCCTTCACTGAACCACCGTAGTGATCTCGAGTCTTGAAAATTCACTATGGCTATGTATGACTATGGTGTAAAGTGTTTGCTTCCTGGGACAGAGGTCAGAATAGCCAGGAACTGCTGGAAGGAGACAGCTGCTGACACAGTTTGGTCAGACTTGGCATGCTAATGACTCTGAACTGCTAAGGATTTCTAGGGCCACCAGTGGCCTTTCCTCCCAATGGATTCATTCAAACTTGCACCTCTGTTTACATCAGTGTTCACCAGAAGGTGACCCAAATCAGGCTGCTGTGGGTTTTGGGGAAAGGCAGCATGAGTCTCTGACCAGAAGTCTATGTCCTGCAAGAGAACAAATGCATCCAACTCGCTATTTCCCCAACCTCTTTTTAAAGAAAAGAAAACATTCATCTTTAAAAACTCATCTTTGTTCTACTGCTGCACGACAAGGCTCGTGCAAAACCCACTGACAGCACAACAGGATTGCTTCCACACTTTGTGTGTGCACAGATAACATTCCTGCAGCTTGATCTGCTGTCCCTGGAGCACAGTCCATGGACACACTGCCAGCCAAACCGTACCCAGAGATGGCAGCACAGCCCTGAGAGCCCCCTTGCATGGCAGCCTCAGAGCTGCAGGCAGAAGTAGCTTTTCTGTGCAGACTCCTTTTCTTCCCCCCTTCCTCCCAAATGTGGGATCCGTAATTTTCACTAGGAATGCTGCAAGCGGAAGAGCTGGTGGGGGCAATTGTAACCTCAAGGAAAACAGAGCTAGAAACTAAACACTGTTGGTGGTGTGGCACGCCATGAGATGTGCCTTCTTGTACTGGTGCCAAGCTCCTCCCTCAGGTAACCACAAAGCTGGCCTCATCAAGAGCTGCATCTCTCATCAGGATACATATTTCAAGACACAGTAGGAAGCATGCTCATGCACTTGTCACTGCAACACATGGATTGTCAGTGTGATAAATTTATGGCAAACCGGGGGCAGTAATGGAAGGTAATGTCTGAGAGGGCCCACATAACATGAGGAGTGTTTAAATCTACCTTGAGCATTCTGTTCCTCGGATGGACCTGTGGATGCAGGCAAAGCCTTAACCACTGCCAGCTGTGGGCCCTTCCTTGATGAGGAATTGCCTGCACCTTTGGGCTCCTGGTTTAGCTGCTCAGAAATGCCACTACGTGTGGGGCAGCTATTTAAATGGTAGGCTGCAGCAGGGTTCCTGCGTACACAGGTGGAGCAGGGCATGCAGATGGGGACCACAAGCCCAGATCAGAGCTGTGGAAAGCTGTCCCAGCCTGCAGAACACTGCTCTGGAACCAGGCCATTCTCTGGTGAGTTAATGCCTTCTGAAGCCCCATCCCAGCTCGGGGCTGTGCGGCTCCTCAGAGCAATGGATGATGAAGGCAGTGTCGTGCTGGTGCTGGGTTAGCTGTGTCCAGCTGAACTCACCCAGGTGCTTGGTTAAGTTCCTAAAACTATTCTGCTTCATTCCTTCCAATTGGCTGAATTGGGACTGGGCTTACCCCATGTTTCCATGTGGGTTTGTTTTTCTATGAGTCACTTAGAAGTATTACTGGCAGCTTGCTTCCTTTTTTTCAACTCAAAACCCTTTTTTTTTTCCCACTACTGCTAAGAGTAGAAAGGAAAGAGAAGTAAAGCAGGAGGTGTATAATTGGTTTACTGAACCCACTGTTTTTGTTCTAGACAATGAAATGCTGACTGTGCATTGAGCAGGTTTTTTTGTGCTGAATTCAGTGACTGTTATGGCATGTAAAGTCAATGTGTGTGAAGTCGGGGTGATGAAGAATTTAAGGAGTAGTATGTTGGCATTGTTACAGGTTTCTCACTCAGGAGCTGTTGCTTTATTTATGTAAATAGGACTTGTGCCCCCTAACAGTGTGGCAGAATTAGGTCTTAACAAAAAAAGATATGGAGTAGGCTACAGTAAGAAATAAGCTTAAGTAGAGCTCTTCATTTCTGTAATTACTTTTGAGAAACCTTTATCAGACTTTTTAAGTGAGAACCACCTTCACAGTACACCTTAGGCTGTGGACAGGCCAGCCTACCCATATAGCAATTGATGTTTGAACTCCCTGAAATTAACTGTTTCCAAAGTGAGGCCTTTGACTCTTTCTAACGTTGCTTTCACATCACGTGCTTCTGCCATGTTCAAGCAAGCTCTGTCATTTATTTCCCCAGTGCCGATCTGTGCAGAAAGGCAAGAGGCAGCAGGACCACCTCACAGTAGAGGGAAGGCAATCAATTCAGGGTGACTTGGAATGAAACACATGCTTTTCAAGGAAACACCATTTTGGTGCTTCTCTCCCACAAAGTCAGAGCAGGAACTGCAGCAGTTAATATCTAATGGGCCCTACCATTCTCTGCTGCCAAACATCTGTGCTCGTGTCTACACCTTGCTGCCAAGCCTGGCCTGCTCCCTGACGCTGCTCAGCAGTTCCGTGAACAAAGAGCGAGGGGAAGGGGAAGGCTGCTACCCTGTCCCCTATCTAAGTGAAAAAAAATCCCTGAGACATATGGTCTTGCATAAAATCACCACCCGAGAGAAGCCTGGCGCGGCGTTAGGTTAGTGAGAATATTCTAATTACACCGAGGCTGAGCAGCACCTCATTGGCAGCCACTGAGGAAAGCAAATGGAGATGACAAAACTGTGGGTCATGAGATGCGTATTTTAACAGCATCAGAACCTTTACCCCCAAATTACTAAAAACAACCCTAAAACCATTACTTACCAAGTAATGTAACTAGGAATCAAGACAAACTGTTACTTTCCATAAGAGGAAAAAAGTTGCTTGGGCTATTTATTTTTTTCTAATTAGTAAGAAAAGTCTGTCTCAAAGAAACTTCTCACTAAGGAGTCGCTGGATTTTATTTGGACCTGTGACTGCTGCCTTCGGAGCCAGTTGTACAAGCATCCCTTATGTAAGAGAGCTGCCAGCCGTGCAGGGCTGGCTGACAAGTCCCATCCCAATCACAGGACACAGGCACGCTCGCTCTAACCGGAGTCGTGTCAGTGCCGGTGCTGGCTTATCAAGCTCACTGTGCTCCAGGAGAACATTATATGGTTTGTAATATGTCAGGGAATGTCAAATTGAGGGCTGCACAGCAGTGAAGGGTAGAGCAGAAAGCATTCTATTCCAGGCCATTGATTCCTTTTAACAACTACATGCAGTAATTCCCAAAACTATCTCCTCAGTCTCAATCACATGGAAAACATAGCACAGCGTTAGTTCTGAACCTTGCACCCAGTGCAGCTTGAGGATTAGACCGTCCAAGGGGATTAAATAGGATGACTGATTTAATCAAAATAATTCTTTTAATGATAATTTGCTGCATTTCTCCTCCCCCCACCTCCTTAAGGGTCTAATAGTTTGCTTCCTGGATTCCCAGTGCATAAACCGAGCATATTTTCTTCCTACAGGAAATGATCCAATTAAGTTGATGTATAATTGATAATGAACCGTTTAAGCTGATTTTGGCCTCGAAAAATCTTAACCGCGTCCAGTCAGCTGGCTGACCCCCCTTCATCTGCACTGGAGGGACGACAGCACTTAGGGAAAGGGAGGGAGCAGGCTGAGCCCAAGGAAGTGCAGGGAGGCAGGCTAGCTCGAGGGCACTGCACAGGCTGGACAGCAGTAGGGATTACTTGAAAATCACGTAGTCCCCGATTGCTGCTCGGTACCCAGGTTGCAACCTGGCCCTGAGGCAGCAGGGTTCAGACAGCAGAGCTTGGTAAGCAGTCCCGTTAGAGACACGGAACCAGCGTTCTCTGGTGTCTAACCCTGGAGCACCGCTGTGGCAGCGGGGAAGTTTCCCACCCTCCCTAAACACAAATTCTGTTGCCTTACAGCAGGTACCAGCTGGAGATGCTGTTGGACCCGTGTGAGTTCCGTGATTCACCCTCCCCCAGTGCCAAAGCCAGGCCAGCCTGAGGAAGTGCTGCTGACAGCACAGCTGGAAAAGAAGGAATCAGATTCATGGAGAAAGGGTGGAGCACATCTTTGGGAAGACAATGCAGTAAGTTTTATAAACATAAGGGCTAAAATTGCTCCTCACATGAATACCTCTTGCTGACCTCAACAAAGCTGACTCTCTCTCACTAGGAGTTTGATTTTGTCCCTGCTTGGACACCAGCTGGCTGCCCAAAGTGGTTTGGGGCCTTCTCTCCCTGCTGACTTCATGTTAGTATGGCAAACAGGGACAGGTCTGCTCATCACCAAGTCTTGTCAGCAGCCTGTGGGGCCCCTCTCTGTGCTGAGCACTGGGGCACAGGCGTGGTGACAGTGAGTGTCACCACGCTCCAGATGAGAGGTGACTCCGTGAGGTACCGGCAGCGCTGAGCGTGCCGCTGCCGTGCGCGGTTTGTGCGGCGGCTCCCTGCGGGCCCTGCAGCGCTGGCTGTCACCAAGCCGTGTAACTCCAAAGCAGCGATGCACTGCCATGCACAGCAAGTGACACGGGAGCTATCCAGCTGACATAGAAACCCCCAGGATATGGGATAGACACCCCTCACTGGTGTCCAAATGGATCGGGATGCCAGAGGGATTTTGCTGACTGCTCCTTTCAACGGGAGCAGACTTCCCTCCATCAGCCACAGAGTTTTACTGGAGAGAATTTAAACTTTTGTAGCAGAGCCTGAGTCTGATGCTGGGTGAATCTACGGGTTTTTTAAGGCTCCTGTGTGCATTGAATCCTTTGTTTGGCCTCACTGGTCCTGTGTGCATTCCTTGGATGGGTCTAAGTCAGTCCCTGTCAGCCTGGGAGTTTGGACCCTGCAAACCCTGAGGTCTCCTCTCCCCTGGTCACCCCTTCACCAGGAGACAGATCCTCGAGTATCCCAGTTTGCAACTTTTCCTGGACAAATGGACAGCTTTATGCTGAGGCATAGGCTTTTTCCCCAGGAGGCTCAGCCAACTTGAAGAGAATTTTGCTTCAATTTACAATGCTCTGGGTAGTGCAGTACTCAGTTCACATGGCTTGACCTACTTTTTTTTGTCCATTATGCCTAACAGTGGGTTTCCCATGTAAAAGGAACAAGCAGAAGGAGATGTTTACCAATTCTATTTCTAATCCTTTTCAGGTAGAATTTCTAAGAAATTTTGTAACCCTAAAAGATAAAACAACTCTAGGCTTACCCTTTTTTGAATTACTTCCTTTAAAGTTGTGCACGTATCAGTTCCTGTAGTCTTATCTGATAAGTTTTTGTGGAGTTTCCTCAGAACAAAATATATTCTAACTTCCTGTATTAAGTGCTGTCAACTTACTTCAGTATAAAAATGTGATTGTCTACGTAGAGCTGTCATACACTCTAATAATGTTGCTTAGTGAGTTCCCTTAATGTAACTTTTCAAGGTACCAGCCTTGTCCAATTCTGCCTGCAGAGACAACCAGATAACTTTCACTCACAAATCAGAAGGACTTGACTTTTTAATTAAGGGTTTCATTTTCTTATCTAGTACTGATCTGCTGCATGGTGACAGAAACTGTGCCCTCCCAAAGCCTTCACCCTGTCCTGGCTCATTCACAAGGCTACACTCCGTGTAATAATCAGCCAAAGCCCATCAGTAACTGTTCCTGAGAGTGCAGTAACTTGCCTTCAGCGTTTTGCTTTTAAGCTCTAGAGTTTTGCTCAGATTTATTCACCCTGACAATGCTGTTTAGTTATGACCTTGTAAGCTAGGTATGAGCAATGCTGGCAGAGCAGGAAACTTCGCAAAGCAGCCCCTCTTCACAGGTCTGCACAGACTTTTTGACCTGGTAGTGGATGTTATTCAGCAGAAATACAGTGGGCACTTCAACCCTTCTCACTTGCCTAGTATTTTATCAGAACTAATGTCAAAACATGGTGCAAGCTCTCTGGCATCTGAGCCGAGGTTACTCTAAATATTCATCTCGACTGTCTTGAATGTTAATCTGTGGGCAGGATTAAGCAGACATATCTCTGTCCAGAGATAATAAGTTGGAATAGTTGCTTATACTGAAAGCAACTGCAGGAGCAGGTACTCCAGACAGTCTGTGCTAAAACTCATCACTTTTATTTTTTTTAACACTAACAAATGCAGACTAACTGCTCGGCTCTCCTGGAATGCAGTACAAATATAACAGGATAGCAAGCAGTCTCATACCTGGAGAGATCAATGTAGTAGAGGCTCCTGCTCAGCAGTTCTGGGTTGCAGTTTTGCTCAGGGGTCTTAATTGCTGGGTTGCTACCATTTCTGAATGCTTTTCAATGTTCAATGGTGTTTCAATGTTTTTTCTGAACAGAAATCGTTCAACAACATTCACAGAGGGTTTCACAACTGCACCTTTGACTCTGAACTTTGAGCAATACTGCTGCATGTTTGTGACCCATCTCCTTTTCATCTGGTTCGAAATTAGCTTTCCCCTTTACATCAGTGTCTCTGAGTCTGCATTCTCTAGCTAACCTGCAAACTGAAGTGAATTTATAATAGCGACTAACAAGGAAAACTGTGACTATTTCATGTTCAATTAGATCTACTTATCAGTGCTATAAATGTTATGAGAAGGAATTGGCATACTCACTCCAAACCCTTGCAAAGAAAACTGAGTATTAACTACAACATACCAAAATATCCTGTTAATACTGCCACCACAAATGCACTACAAAAAAATCACACACACGTACACAAAATCCAAACCAACCGGAAACCCTACTATGGATACTTCCATCCACACTCTGTGGTAAAAGCTGAGTGTTGACATGGCCGGTGGCTGGGCTGTAAATGAACCCTGAATCAACTCAGGAGCTCAGTCTGCAGAAGCAGACCTTGCATGTGAGCTGTAGAACTGTGTACATCCGTTTGCTTTTCCTGTCACTGCTAAGTTGTTACCTTGAAACAACGCGTTGCCATTCCACGTATCTGGTCTTGTTTTACAGCTAAGGTACACCCAAATCTGGGATTTTTACAGCTGGGTTTTTCTTAAGTATCGAAGGAAGCTGGATTGAGGCTTGTGCACACACCATCTGGCATATCTTATCAGAAAAGCTTCCCTCCCTGCTGACACACGCTTTCAGGTTCCTGGGAGGTATGGACGCAGCAGGCTGGCACTGCTCCTAGCCAGAGACCACCCAAAAACACCTTGGCTGAGAATGTGGGTAATGGGACACCCTATGGCTTATGCTAACCTTCCATGTGTTTCAATGACAGACTCTTCAAGCTGAGCTCCTGAGAAACCTGAAGTGACTGTACTTGTGCTGCTTCCAGAGGAGGGCCAGAGGAGTGCGGAGACCTGACCCCTCGGAAGGTGCCCATCCACAGGTCAGTGACCCTCGCTGGAGGGGAAACGCCAAACACCCATGTCTTTATTCCTCTATCATGCTTATTTGCAAAGCAGTATCCTTGGAAACATAACATCATCAGCTGGGGTTAAACATTTGGCTCTTATAAACACAGCCCAGTACTGGCACTCGGATCATTTGTACCAGCAGCATCGCTGAGTCCTGTAAGTCCCTCAAATGGCACAGAATGAGATTTTAAATAGTAAAGGTGTTAGGCAGTACCACATGGGCTGCACTGTCTTTTCAGGGGAAAATCTGTCAATGCATCAAAAGATTGCTTACCTTTCTCTAGAAAGCTCAAGGAAGATTCTGGAACTATATTTATTTTATGTAACAGGGAAAATAAGTTGTTGCATTACAGCATTCCCAAAAACCACACTGCTCAAGGGAAGTGATAAATTCATGACTGTGTAGTATCCTGTATGTGAATAGTATCCTTTTGTTATTTAAAAAAAGAAAAGGAAAGGGAAATGAGAGTGGGCTCTCTCAGAAAATGGATTTCATTATTGCTTTTGACTTCTGCCAGTAAGCCTGTTTGCACTGTGCTGCCTACATGCAGCAGCAGCATGCTAACCTTGTAAAAAAGACACAGCCTCCAGTCTAAAATGGGACAAATTTTGTGTCCACAACCACAGGTGTCTTAGCACACAGCTGAAATAGTGTCAAGCCACTGATGGCAACCAGAATGATTCTCTTTGATCCCTTCCCACAGTAGTCAGCTGAATGGCCTCATCTCACTGATGGCAGTTTCTCAAGCCATGCTGAAAACAGGAACAGTCTTACCGCGTACTGGGATAACAAGTGGTTAAAGTCATGCATTTAAAACACTTCTCTCTGTATGGAAAGATTTGGGTAATTCCTAAATTGCACTTATTCCTCAGGTTTTAAGCAGTTGTTCTCAAGTCTCTCAGAGTAAGTCTCCATTTTTTCCAGACTGAACCCAAAGCTGTCATTTATCAGAGCATCCCCCAAACTTCCCAGATGAACTTCCCTCTCTTTGTGAGGAGTCTTCAAATTCTACATGAGGTCTGAGCATGAATAACTGCAGGAGGTGCAAGCAGTGCTGATTTACAGAACTGCATCTCTAAGGTAATGGGGAGGGAACTTCATCTACTGCAATTCCTGCCTCAGGAACCAGCTCTGCCTAGAAGAGCAAGTGAGACTAGAGAGTATGCTCTAGTCTTGAGGAAATGTAAAACTTATTGCCTGGTACTCACAGAATTGATTATTCCCTTCAGTGCTTGGAATCCTCCAGTGACAGGGAAGACTTGCTCTTTCACGTCAGCAATTCTTTCCAGCTTTGGAGAGAAAATGCATGCAAACACATGAATCATCTGGTAAACTAAATTCCTCACGCTGCTTTACGCCCTTAAAATTTAAATGGATGTCTAAAAGCAACCTTCATCAGTTCTGCTAAGAGAAGGAAACTTTAGAGCTCTCTCACAGCTAACTAAGAGTTTTCTGAACTGGAGGGCTTACCACAGCTGACTGCAGCTAACAAAATGGTGGCTAGTCATCGTGGCAAGCATCACACTGAGGAAACCTTTCAGGGCCTGTATTTTGGCAGTGATTTTGTACCTCCCATCCCAACAATAACCTTCCCTGTTGGTTCTGCCTTTCACTAAAAGCCCTTTCTCTGCATCTCCTTTAGGAAGGAGCCTTTCCTGTACCTCTCCACTGAAGCCACTTGGACCAAACAGGAGTAGCTGCAGCCTTCACTGGGACACAGCAACTCTGGAACAGCTTTTCAGTGAAGGGCATGAATCCCGTGTTCTTTTCCTTGTCCCAAGATGGTTACACATGCTCTGCTTGAACCTTGTCTACGGCTCCGCTGTTCAGTGTCATCAGTACCCTGACCTGGCTGCCATTCCAATGAGAGGGGCTTGCCTGCACCCTCTCGCTGGCAGCTCCCAGTTAAGGGGATTTCCAACGGGGCTCCTTGGCAGTGAGCACGGCACCCACACGTTCTATTTATGTCTGTGTACACGTCTGAGAGTGGTTCCTGAGCCAGAGAAGACATTATGCTGCCTAATGTAAGTAAAATTAAATTTCTGTACAACTTAACATTAACTCTGTAAAACTCTGGGTTGAGGTACTGCCTAGTACTCTAAAATAGTCAAGCTCTTCTTCTTACCTGTTCTTGTTCAAAATCGTGGACACCAACACAGTAAACTCTCGCTCCCAGCTCTCTGGATTTCCTTGCCTGTGGCATCATAGAACAGAGAAATAAGCATTTTTTTAATTCAAGAGGCAGCACCCAAACTCTGCAGGGCATGACATGTATTTCCAGCTTGTGCTCACCTCTTTCTCTGCATACAAGGGAATCTGACCATCCAGCTTGCCATCAGTCAGTGCAATGATGATACTAGAGAACCTTGAGGCTCCTTGCTTTGCAATTTGCATGTTGGCCTGAAAACAACAAAATCCTTTATCCACCTTAAAACTACACCCAAACTTTTAACTGTGATGCATCTTCTAAGCATCTAATACAACATCTGAAATAACAGCTTCATCCTCAAATCTCTCTCATGACAATCATCTGCCTCCCTTGAACTCACTACCAGCAGGGAAAAGCCCCTCACTGGTCCTTCCCAGCCACAATTGAGCCCATCTCCGAAGCAATTGGGTCAATGACCAGTCAACCCTCGCAACGCGCAGCTCTCCCAGGACAGAGTGCTTCAAATCCACCATTAGGATTTTCTTTGCTAACCCCCAGATTTCAGACACAGTCAGTAGGTCCCAAGATATAAAAAGAACAGCTTAAAACTATTTATTTTTTTTTTATTTTTAACTAGCAACAGAATTCCCTTTTCCCAGCTTTTCAGAGCGCAGATCCTGGTTACAAACATGGCTCTGCAGTCACAGGGGAAGAACTGATTTTTCTGTAGCAGTGAAAGCTTAGATCTTCACCTTCAGGGCTAGGGCTTTCATCAAAACTGCATTACTTGAACAAAGAAAAATATAAGCAGCTGGGAACTCAATAATTAAGACAGTCCAAAATGAAGAGCGTTTGTCTCACAAACGCTGCTCTGTGCGGTAAACTCTCCCCGAGGAGAGCGCTCTGGAAGGCACCGCAAGCCCCGCAGCCCTCCCGAGCTGCGTGTGACTGCTCACCGTGTCGCTGGCATGCTGGCTGAGCTCTGAGACCCACGACACACAACCATGCTCTGTGAGCAGGAGCAAGTCTGAGAAATTCCATATGGCAAACTGCTGTGATGGCTAATCATCTTCTGCATGGGATTTGCAGAGTGTCTGGGCAGCCCTGGGACCACTCAGGCAGCCAGAAAGATTTGAGCGTAACAGACTGAGGTGTACAACTGTTCTATTTATGTTACAGGTTGTTACCCAAAGGGTGAGAATAGAGGATCAGCTGATTGCAAGAAGATGAGTAAAACCTACCTGTTTTAGTCCTTCGTGTATGTATGTCTCACCTGCTGGTGTCACCTCCGCCAGATCCTTTAGGCCTTTCTTGATTTTCTCCCTGCGAACGAAAGAAAAGGTAAGAGACTTTTTGTGTGACCTGAAGTGTGGAAAGGGTGTAATTTACCAATTGAAAAACAGTATTTGTCCTCAAGGAGAACTGAAATGAAAAGCTGTAAATTAGAGCCTTTAGTTAGGATCCCACATGGAGGCAGACTGTGTATTCATGACAGAAGTGGCGCTGTGGGAACAGGTATTTCAGACCTATCTAACGCAATATGCTTCAGTGAGTCAAAAAGCTGGAATCAAGGAAAATGTTCAGGCGGAGTAGATATTGCAAAGAGATGGTAAAGCATTTCATAGCCCAGTGGAAATTCTTTTGCATTAGGTCTATTTTGCTACTTTAAACCAACTTTGCTTCCAACCACACTGCAATCAAAGAAATCCCCTAAAACAGCAGTTCTGTTTCAACAGAAATCTTCCAGATCAATATGCAGGAATTTAATGACATAGAACAGAACTTCAATAATTAAAACCTTTGCCCTGAAGAAAACAGCAGTAGGCAAATGTACCATTTGCAATACACCTTTTGTGTCCATGGGACAAGAGCAGGATTGAGGATCGTTTTTAAATTTTGACTGTCACAACCTTTTTGTGTGACCTTTCCGAAGACATCCCACACAGGTCCACAGCTCACACAGATTTAACAGGAAAACACATCTGCACCATGGTTTTTCATGAGCAGTACAGCAGGTCCACCTGCAAGATGCTCACTAGCTATGGAGCTGAAAGGGGAGAAGTTGACAGACTGCACCACAGGGACTGTTTCCAGTGAAATGGGCACAAGCAGGGGGAAAAGGCAGAGGGACTACTGAAAGAATCCAATCCACAGGGTCCTCATTCCCCTGCAAACATAGGTTCAGCCGAGTCCATGGAAAGCCATGCTAGGAAAGGATAAGCAAAAACTAAGAAGGGGCAAAATTTGGGCCAGAATATATAGAACACTGTGACAAATCTAGGTGAGAAAGAGGAACCCAGCAGGGGTGAGGAGATGGAGGGAAAATACATCGCGGGATGCGTGAAAGCTTTCCTTAGGCCAGACCAAATGAGAAAGAATGCATATGCCACACTGCCTGAATGCCACCCACTCGTCATTTGTTCCACGGATGGGCTTCCTCTATGTTTAGCAGCTCTGTTCCAAAGTACAATCCATAGCTGGAATAAGCTCCCCATCACAGGATCCACTGATACAATCAGGGAGGGGAGGGAGTAAAAGAGATATGTGGCATTCAATGTATGGAAGGGAACAAGTTATGTAAGATAATACAATCTGTTTGATCCAAATATTTTACATTCAGCATCTATAGAAACAACTTGCAAGTGATTATGTACGAACGCAGATTATAAACCACAGGGTTGGTGCTTGCCAGGAATGAGTGGCAGCACATCACAGGCGTTAGTGCTCTGCTGCCAAGAAACAAGCAGCAACTCAAGTCCCAGTTTTGTGAAACAGATTTCATTTTGCAGAAATAGCTTTTGTACAATCAGTTCGGTTTTATTTATCTGCAACGTCTTGTGACCCGGTCGCACAGCAATCCCTGGTGTTGCCAGGTCTCTGCCTACAAGGGGTTCCAGAAAACCTTTGGTAGCATGAGCCGTTTTAGCTGCATTTCATCAGGCACCATCTCTTGCCCTCGGGACACAGCTGCACTAGACAGACCCAGCCAGATGTCAGCTAGCTCCCAGCAGTCTCCAAGCCGGTCAAGTGCAAGCGGGTTCTGGTCTGGATGTCAGAAGGCTGGTGTGGATTGCAGGACCTGGGGCCCTGGGACCAGCAGGAGAGGTGGGCTCCGCCTTCTCTGAAACTCCCCCCAGCTGGTTTGAAGGCTGGACACGCGAGCTCGTGCCTGCCTTCACTGTTTTGATAACAGGACTCAGCAGTCAGCCAGACACAGCACTCAGGAGCCCCACTCCTGCTCCTCAGTGCTCTCACAACTTCCCTTTCTCTAGTTTCTGTAAGGCTGCTTGGTAGCTCCAGAAATCCCCAGGGAAGTTGTGGTTGTGTAACTCATCTGTACCATGACAGCAGAGCCCTCAGCCCGGGCGCCCCGGACATCCCACAGCACAGCTCAGGAGCACTAACACAGGCTGAGGGATGCTGGCTTTGTGGTGCAAATCAGAAAAGGGAGGGGGGTGGAAGAGGCAAAACAGAATCAGCAACTTGCAGCCTGTCTGTGTTTGGGCTGAATAAGTGCAAATTTAATATCTTTTACCCACTCAGCATATGCGCTGCAGCCCATTTCTGTGTTTTAGCACAGGCACAACTAATTTTTAATAGCTACCCCGTCTGTTCTCTCTCTCAGTTGTGTAACTGCCTCAGACAGCTCTTCCAGCAGCAGCCAGGCAAACACAGCTGTTAATATCCATGCAGATTCCAGAAGGGGTGTTCTTAGCCCCTCTGAGTGGGGGACAGTATTGTGCATGTCTCTTCCGTGTCACATTCCACCTACTGAAGTGCTGGAATCTTGAATTATCTTAGTGTGAGGAGCATACGAGCGCTGGCAGGAGATGGTGGCTCTCACTGAGCATGTATTTATGGTGAGAAATGAGGCTGTGTGCTGCAAGGCAACAGGCTCATCCCTAACAAACAAAGGCAAACAGAACAGGTACTTGGGGTTTGCTGCTAAGAAGGATGTACAGTAAACAGGAAAGCACAAACACGCGTCACTGAAACCGAGAGGGGAAGTGTTCTTTGACAAAGAGCAATGGCTCCATCTCTGATGGGGCAAGCTGCTGGACTCATGCAAGGAAACCCTGCACGAGCCTCCTCAGGTGCATCATTTAGAGGAGACTTATGCCTTCTAGGCCTCTTAAATACTACAGAGGGTTGATTCACTTATAATATTACTCTGCTTCAAACTTGCCGCCTCCTGCATAGGCTCCAGATGAAAACCACATCAGTGGCCAACTCTGTGTGTACCTGGTACACCGGGCAGAGCGTGCTCTCTGCAGATCAGTCTGTTTTGGCAAGCTGCCTTGGACCCAAGCGCAGGGGCAGCTCACGTCACCGAGGCCCTGAATGCACCCATGCCTTACACACCCCTGGCAGCGCGCCACGGGACTAGCGACAAGGACGGTACAGTGGGTCACGTACCAGCTACTCGAGCACACCACTTTTCCACCTTCACCAACACAATCTCTTTTTATCTCCAGCAGGAGTTTCACCCAGGCAGACTCAGCCGGGCCTGGCCACTGGCACTGGTCAGTGCTGCCAAAGCTGGCTTACAGAGACCTGGACTGCTGCTGGCCAGCACAGCTGGCCAAAAGAGAACAAAGGCAACATTGTGCCAGCTGGATGGTATTCCTGAGGGCATCCACTGTCCCAAACCACTTGCCTTCCAATAGTGAGCCCCAAAGGTGAGTGCTCCAATCTTTGTTTGCCACTTATTGAACAGTTTCCAGCTCAACTTGACAAGCATGTGTTTCGAATGAGCTTTAACTGATGTGAGAAGGCTTTTCCACCTGGGTGTTGTGGTTATTCTATGGACTTACTATAGCACTGTGTATACCATGATTAACAATGACTTCTCTTTACAGTTAGTCACAGCACTACTCACGCTCACAAAATATTTGGGAATCTGCGGGCTTTGGCGCTATACTGTGTCCTTCTTTTATCCATAGCTCTATTGTGCAGTAAACCCAGCAAGAACTTTGTGCAAACAATCAGAAAGCCTGAGGCTTTCAAAAAAAAAATAAATTCTGCCCTACTTTGATCTAACTGCTGGGAAGAAATTGTGGTTTCCTGGCATTTGGGAATTAGCAAGTAAGCCAGGGCAAAAACATGCCTGCAAGTTCAAAATGCATGTAAGGAACCAAGGCCATAATATCCAATAATCACCCACACAAAGACCCATCCCCGCAACTGCGGTGTGCTTAGCATCCTTATATTCTGTTGGGAACAATGGGGGCCAGACAGCCTCACTATTTTTCCTCTGTAAAAGGACAGCTGCTCCAACTCTCCGTCCCCACCTATGTACATATGGTCACAGTTACCAGTCTCCTTCTCCTTGTAATTCCCCCTGCACAAGAAGGGTGGCACTTTGCTTTCGGCAATGAAAAAGCTGCTTGTGTTCCTGTGGCAGGGTTCCAGCATCCTGCCCAGCATTTCAAGTGCTCTGTGTGCTACCACTGCTGCCTCTCAGGCCTGATAAGGAACAGGCCACTGACAGCCTATTGAGATGGAGAGAAGGGACCTCATTGATTTCAGCAGGCCCCAGGACAGGCTCAAGTGTCCTCTCCTGACCCCTCTCAAGCCATCTGGAAAAATGGCTTATAAGCTTGTCCCTGCCCACAGAGAGCAGATCCAATATCCCAATCCGGATGGGGGAAAGCGGCTGTTTTCAAGACGGACCACTTTTTAAATGTTAAAACAGGAGGGGCTCAGAACTGAGTTTTTAGACAGCTCAGATGTCAGCTACATTTCTCTAGCATGACACGTGCCTGTTGCCAGTGGCAAGTCTTTCCAGCAAGTCTTGTACTTGTTGTTATGTACTGTTTTAAACAAACCCACAGCAGAACTAAGCAACTGCAGCACACCGCATTTTGCACTGACCCTACAGAAAAGGGAGCAGAAAAGATGGACCACCTCACTTCCACCCTGCCACAGGTCTATGGAGCGATTCCTGAGTGGTTTATCCACATGTTCCAAACCCAGAAGGTTGTGCACTGCGGTAGCTCCTGGACAGAAGGGGAAGAGCAGAGGTCGTGCTGGTTTTGAAAAGGCTGAGAGGACACCAAAGGAATCAGACAGCAGTGACACTCCTCTGCTGAGAGCACTCTTTCCACACGACCATTGCCCAGTTTCTGTGAGTTCGGTAATTATTTTTGCAATATTCTCTTCTCTACCTTTTTCTCCTCCTTCTGTTTCCCCCCACCCATCCTTAAGCTATCCTAGCTGCAAATCCTCACGCTTTAGAAATCAGAGTGAGCAGACTTCAAAACCATCCACTGAAAGTTCAGGTACACCTATCCACCCCCACAGTGTCAGAAAGATCTCACACCCTTCAAGTGGCACCAACCAGGGTCTAAAGCAGACCCTGAAGTCTAGATTAGGAAATACGAAACAAAATACCTACCTTATGTGAGAATATGAGGAACATTTATTTACCATTTTATGCTTCTCCTAGACATGAAAAAACCCTGATAACCATTCTATGGATGCTGCTTTACAAAAGTGAGTGGAAGAATCATTCTTGCACTGCGCCAAGGGAGATGTGGAGTCACACAGAGACGAAAACGTTACTGCTAGTTTTTCTGCAAAGCAGTGGCAGGGTTAACATCAAGGATTTGTTTCCCACTATTCCTCTCCTTCCTTTTTTATGAGGCTATCCAAAGATACGGTCACAAAATTAAATCAGCTCTGCAGGGAGGCTTCATGACTGGCCACCACTTAGAGGTATCAGTCGTTGTTCCGTACCTGTTACTGCTCCTCTGATTCAGCAGGGGTGGGAGGAGGGAGGGAGGGAGAGATTTAAAAGAGCAGAGCACTAACCTGTCTCCAGTTAGCGGCATAATGACGTGTGCCTGGGTGGAAAACACGATAAACGACAGTCTCATCTTGGGGCTTTAGAAAAGAGAAAGAAGGCAAAACACATTTCAGAGAAACATACAGATGCACAGCATTTCATTCACTTATGCAGGTCTCATTTGCGTGACCTTTATCCTCTCGCTTCCTAGGAGCATTCTTTTGAACTACAAACCCAAAATGACAGGAGTTAAAGAGTGGGTTTGTTTCTCTGAGCAGAGAGTTGTGAGACTTGAAAACTTCTTTCCTAAAAGCATCCCGGGAAATGTCACACTAAAAAGCAATGCTGTATGAATTGATTTTATTAAGGAATTCAATTTTTTTAAAAAAATTTATTTTTAAGAAGGTCACCTGTCTCTTTGCACAGGGTTACAGGGAATCACATCTAATTAGCAGTGGAAAACACCTAGGAGTTGCCTGATGCTCTGGAGGCTCAAGACAGAATTTTTCCCAAAGTAAGTTGTAACATCTCTCCCGCATGATTTTAAATTTTATTCGTCACAATTTTAATATACTCACCAACTTTGTGATTTACTGTATATGAGTATCAGCATTAATTAATCAACTTACAGTTAGCAAGGCCTCAACACTTGAAAAGGTGAATGACTGTATGTTTTCAGTTCATTGATGTCAATGACTGTCCTGGGGTGCAACTTACGATTATTGACATCAAGGGAATCTAAGTTCTGCAAATCTACACAGAACTACAGAGACCTTGGATTTAAGATCCAGGCTTGCACTCAGTCCATAATGGCTTTGCATACCAAAATCTGAGAGGCTCTAAATTAAGCCAGAATTGACAGCAAGGGATTATCACCCTTTTGAGGTGCCAAACAAAACCAAGTACTTGCAATCCCAGCCCCTGGTACCTGCATCACTGCCTACCGATTACTGTGGGATTTCCCTGTTGGAGACGCAGCCCCACGTGCAATACCCTCCAAGTTATGCTTTCAGCCAACTTCTCCTCAGGACCCCCACAGAACCTTTCTCTCCACCAGCCAGCCCGGCCATGCCTCCCCTGTAAGTGCTCTGACAGTGGGGCGGGAATGGAGCCAGACCTCCACACAAGTGTTGCAAGAGGGAGTGTCACTTGGCTGGAGAAGATGCTGAACTGAAAGATTTCCGCTGAAATCTTTCCACCCTCTCGGGGGGGGGCAAATGTTTTACAACCTCCCCAAAGAAATCCTGCTTTGGTATCAGGCTCTCTTTTTCCTTTTTTTTTTTAATTCCAGAGCTTACAAAATAACTTCCAAAAGTTTCTGTTGCCCCCTGGACAGAAGTTTTGCTTAAGTTTACAGAAAATTTGCTTTTGACAAGATGAACACTATTTAATTAAAACAGCCTAATTGTATCCTTTACTTAGCAAGGTCACAACTGCACTCTGTGCCTGGTTTTCCTCAGCAAAACCTACCGCACCATCTCTTTCCTGTGTGTGGTGGGGGATTTATTCAGTTTATTCTGGATTTTGTTGTAGGGTTTTTTAAAGTAAAGCGCTGCAGTCCTCAGCTGTTTGTACAGAGCAGTCAGCCAGGATTTACAGCAGCTATTTCAAGAGGAGCTGGACTGGCCCCACAACACTGCTGACAGTAACGAAGTTGATTATATGTAAGTACAACAAAGGCAGTGTTACATGGCATGGGCTTCCTCTGCATTTGAGCTTTAACACTGCTCTCTTCCTTTTGACCTGCACTATGTATTTACACATATGTTCACATGTGTTCAAGACTACTTCTTTATACAGACCCCCAAACACGGAATTTGAGCAGTACCTCATCAGAAACTAGGCACGTGTTACATTGAAAAACAAGTTGAAAAAAAGATCAAATCACATCTGAGAGTCATTTAAGAAAGTATTTGAAGACACATATTGTCAGCTTTTTGCTGACAATTTTTCTTGTCCAAGCACAAGAAAATAAAGTAACAGTTGTCAGCAATTTAGATCTTAGAAGCCAAACTTCTAACGTGTTTGTGGAACATGACCCCTGAGTTTGCAAAAGGGGGCAGGGTGGGTTTAACATAGCCCAGAATTATTCCAGCATCACCTCGGCTGTCACAAGCAGCACCACGCACCTCACAAATCTTTCTGTCAGCTGATTTACAAAATTAAATATCTCTTGCCAGTTCGTCGCCACGCTCCCGGACCTAGAAGGGAAAACCAGAGCACATCAGCGGCCTGATCTGGTATGACATTTCGTGGAGAAACTGACAATATTCGCTGTTCCGGACATCCCGAGGTTCCGCCAGCACTCGCTGCTAAGTTTGTAGCCCGGGCCCCGCTCCCCCCTCGCCCTGAGGGCGATCGCGGCCACCGAACCTCCCCACAAAAGCCCGGGCGGGCGGCAGATGCTGCCGCCTCTCGCTATTCCACCGTCTCCGGCCGTGAACGCACCTCCGGTGGGAGAACTTCCAGGGGCCCCTCTCCACATTGCCTCAGGAGGTCCCGGCACGATTCCCGACCTTCCCGCC